TATATATATATATATGTATATATATATTTTTTCAGCAAATGAATCTAATGGGTATTGTGTTGGGTACAGAGGAGCTGCACCTTGATCTGTACCTTGATCCAGCTCAAGTGGGAGATCCACAGGAGCCACTGCTCTCTCGGCACCTTGACCCAAGCCTTGATTTGGCTCAGGTGGAGTGGCAGGTGTTTCCCCTTTTGTTTTACCAGAGTCTCTAGAGCCAGACTCTGTATAGGCTTTTAGTGCCTCAAAAAAGGTTTGCTGAGGTCCAAGGAGAGAGGCCACCACTGGGTCACCACCAGCAGACATATCCCTCAGGGTGACTGCTATGCTGTCCTAGGTGGGTAAATCAGAAACACTGTATGTAGTTAATGTTATAGATGAGACAAGCCAATTTTCTCATCTAACGTTTATTGAGTAAGCTGGGTGCAGAGAATAACAGCGCTGGGGCAGCCTGGAGACAATCCCTCTCAGGCTCCCATCTTTTGTCTCTTGGRCTCAGTATTTATAGTATATAGTCCTTCTAGTCCTTTCCTTCTTCCTTTCCATGATCTTTGTGGTATTTCAATGTTATCGGTAGTCTYGGCATCCCAATGTTATCAGCAGTCTCAGCATCCCAATGTTATCAGCAGCCTGGATGATCCTAGATTGTTTCCAATGTTCCTTGATTGTTTCCAATGTTATCAACAATCTGGGTAATCCTCGATTTGGATGGTAGACTCAGCATCTTCGAGTTCCGTGGTATTCCCCAGAAGTCAGTCATGCTTGTAAGTCTAAGYAAGCTATTCCTGCTTATAATCATTATTTCCTAGTTTTGATTAACTTTAGGGAACAAACATTTATTACAGTTAATGTCCAACAGTTTTCTTGTACCCAGGCTAAAACACCAGGACTACCCAGTCRCACAGCAGCCACACAGTTGCTTTTGTTCTCTGCTTGCTGATGGACAAGTGCACTGCCGTCCTTGAGGTTGGTTACCTACTAGCAAGGCATCCTGCACTACTCCCTGTTTGCTGATAGAGCACTGCACTACTGTCCTTGCAGCAGGCTTCCACATCTCCCCCTTCTTTATTTAACTATTGTATTGCCATAGCTGTTTTTAGCTGAGCTTACCCGTGGCTCAGGCTTTTCCCTTTTCCTCTCCTCTCTGCTCCTTCTCCTCTTCYGTATTTCCAGTGACTTCTTCCCAGTCCATCCAGCCAAGCTTACCCCATGGTACAGTATGTGTTTGCTGCCCATCTCAAGCCTCTGTTTGGGCAAAATTTATGGGGTACCAAAGAGCAGGACCTCCCGGTCCTGGATCTAGTGGATCATCRGGTAGATCCACACAGGCTGCTGGCCACACCACACCTTGATCCRTGCCTTGATTCAGCTCAGGTGGAGCTGCAGGCGTTTCCCTTTTGGCTTTACCAGGGCCATCCTTGAAGCAAACCTCCACAGTTTCATTTTACAGTCAAATGATAACTGCAAAAAGGTTTCCATTAACTGACCCCCTTTGGACCCTCTGCCAACCAAGGTAGCAGTTAATGTAACAACATTCACTACCAGACCATATAGTGTGCGCCCCAATAATCCAGGCAGGATTACTTGTGCGTGACAAGTAGGACAAGGGAAGCTGAATGCTCTGTCTGTGTCTCAGGATCCTCCTCTCTGGCGAGAGTAAGCTGCTTTTGGATGTGCCTTAGACAGCCTTTAGGTGTTAACGGCTGCCTTGATCTTCTGGCATAGTACTGTGTTTTACCTTTTGTGAGTCTTGGGCTGAGTCATCCATGCTCCGTTTTTTTTCCCTATCTGGGTATTTTGCTGGTTCCTGGAGTTCATTTATCTTGTCAACTTATCTTACAGCTTCCTTTTCCTGCTATCAGGCTATTGAATGAACCATGCTTAGATTGCATCATGACTCAGGTGAACTGCTGGCTTGATGTTACTTGGTACCAGCACAAACCATTACTTAAGTCCTTTTTAGACTCATCCTTAGGATGTGTTCATGTGCTCACACACTCCCACTTCATTCAGAAGAACCTGAGTATTTTTGTTGCAAATATTTGTATATGTTCCAAGTTAAAGTCTTCAGTTCATTTGCAGAATTAGGGTTTAAGTTGCTCTCTTTTTGTGTATGATCAATCACTGATATAATGTATGTAGATAAATTCATAGTTTCACTTGTTTATTTAACAAACAAGTTCTAGCTCTATTAACTGTAGAAAAGCCATTCCCATCTCTTATGTCGGATGGTTACAATTCTTTTGAATCCTTCCACTGAATACATAGACCACCACAAGGTATCCTATAACTAAGACCTCCATTTATCAAAAAGCTGAATTACAAGTGCATTAACATAAGACTATTAGAGGGCCAAAGAAAGTCACTCACCAATCTCCAAGTCAGTACCACTCATCTCTGTCAGTATGGGCATCTTCCTTGAGTGARAAGTTTGCATCCCCGTAGTCCAGCTATTTCTTTGGAATGGCCTCTCCAATTGCCCACTACAGTGTTTGCTTTTTTTAGAGGTAGATGAGAGTAGCTCAGTCCAAATCCCCGCTGGCTTCTGTGGTGCCCACGTGGAGGGCCTGTGTGCAGCTCGAAGCCAGCTTGGCTTTCAGCTGGCTGCCCAGAATTTCCTTCCTCTTTGTTTGGGAATGCCAGGTTTCCTGTTTGTCTCTCCAGACCAGCGAGTGGAGGAAGTGAGAGCTTCTTGCTGACGCAGCTCTCTGTTCACAMTTTTGTCTTTTCACTGAGGTGAATTTGACGGCAACACTGACATTTCTCATCTATTATGCTCTCCACTTTTTAAAAAAATGTTTTTAATATGAATTCTTTCAGTCTAAGATAATGTACACTGTCTTAAAACATGCCAAGACATATTCAAACTTTTCGGATCTATCAAGCTAGCATATAATGTCGTAAGAGTTGAAGCTTATCAAATACCCTAGAAGTAATCCTAGAGTGTTCTTAGCTCATGTAACTGAAGAGGGTGTGTGTCATGCACAGTTATAGAAAACTTGAAAACTTACATAAACTTTTGTATTGAAACAAGAGGGAAAATGAACTCTAGATGGTGAGTCATAACAGTGCAAGATGCCATTTGTCCAGGTTATCTCTTGGTTTTCCATAATTTGGAGAAAGATTTTATGGATATGTCCCTTTTCTGTGTAAAACACCTTCTTTAATATACTTCATTTAAACTTTATTTAAATGCTGGACAGCATAATGCCTTACATTTGTCAGTCTGCACCCAAGTTTACCTGCAAGCTGATCTGTCAAAAGGTCTGTCAATGGCCTTCAGGAGTACAACAGCTCCTTGAAAGGGTGCCTTTACCTTTAGTCACTGCTTTCAGTAGCCTGAGCTTGGCTGAGGCATGTTTAGAGGCTCTATCTTTAGGATTTATGATAATTTAAATGTTAATTCTTGCCCTAGGGTTTCCCTAATGGCCTAATTGGATTTCTCTACGCTCTCATTACCTTAGGGATAATCCTGTGCCATAGAAGTGTTTTATGTCATGCAATTTATGTGTGATTGGATTATATGATATTTAAAGTGCCTTCTCTGGAAATCAGGTTTTCTGGAAGATATAGGCAGAAAGCTGTATGGGAGTCTTTTCTAGGAGTTTCAATCATGTTGGTTAATGACATCCACAAAGACAAGTAACTAATGCTTTTTTTCTTGCTGCAGTTCCTAGGGACCTTACATAACTGATGTGAATGTCATGACAATGACCATGGTTCTGGTGCTTGAAGAAGAATTAGTGTTCTGCTTTGGTTTATTAAAGTTGGCTTATCTGACTAATCAAGTTTTGGGGCACTAGACTATTTTTTTTTTTTTTTCCTGAAAACACTTTTTTTTTTTGCTTGTCGGGAGGATTTTCAGGGTTATCAGATTAAAATCTGCCTGGGGTACAGTGATATATGATTTAGCACAGCTACCTTCCTGCTTTGTATGGGCAGGACCATTGCTTCTGCAGATTTCCTCCACCTCTGTGGGGTTTTAAAACAATCTTTTATGTGCATATGTTAGCACATTTAGGCACAAGTGACACATTTATGATAGGTTCTTTGATACGGTTGGACTAATCTTATGGTGTTTGTCACAGACAAGTTTAACCACAAAGCATCGGCTTTAACCACATAACCTAAGCAAATTACAACAGCTGTAAACCAYGAGGTACAAAACCCTGAGTAGATGAGCAAGTGGTGACAGAGCAGGGTGGAAATGGCAGGATGTTTTAYATCTTTCAACATGCAGAAGGCATTTGTATGAGAGATCCCTTGTTCTGGAATTGTAAGAGTATGTGCTGGTCATAGCCTCAAAGCAACCTCTGAACTATAGAGTAGCTGCTTTCCCTTACAAGCCTCAAACCTGAGGTTATGTGAAGTTATTTGTCTCCTGCCTCAGGCACTAAATGATATGAGAACTTCATGTTAACATAAATATTTGTTTAGGATCATCATAAGCACTTGCATATGATATCAACGTGAAGGCAGTTTATATGAGCCTTTCCCTTTAGTTATGCATCAACTGGAGATTGATACCTCTACAGCTGTACTAGATATTTCGCCAGGAATTTCCAGGTATGGACTAGCATTTGCACAAGAACTCCCTTTCTGGCCATTGCTGAGCGGCCAAAAGTATTGTTTTGATTTGATTTTTTGTTTTCTGTGGCCCACGAGAACACAGTCTTTATGAGTATAAATCTAGGTGACACAGTCCACATCTAATGCTTGGTTAGACTGGGTGTCCAATGTAAAAGTTTCCTTTCCCAGCTGTTTATCAACAACTGGAAATAACTGCTTCTGCAGTCCTGCTGGATCAGCAGTGCTTGGGATTACTGGCTAGCCCTTTCAAGTTAAAGGGAGCCTCAAATTTGCMGTCCTTGATACTCTTTGTATCATCTCCCTGCTGAGCACAGGGTCATTCCACTGACTTTCAAACTCCTAAACTAGATGAACAGGCTGCTTCACCACCATCCCCCCCTACACCAGCCRGATTTTGCCAAGAAAATGCGACCTTTCCCAAGTGCAATAGACAGAAGACTAGAGAAGAGGGAATGTCCTCAAGAGTGTCACCAGGCCAATGTTTTTCTGCTGAATAAAAGCCAAATTTAGATGTCTCTTGCTTCCACATTTTCCAAGGAAAGTCCCTTCATTTTCACAAACATAATGATTTCTTAACAGCAGTAAAAATCCTTCACTCACCTGCACCATTCTTTTAATCTCCAAAACATTAAAATAAAGTGTTTTACTTGCAGGGCACTTTTGCAGCACAACCCTGTTCCTCTGATGTGTATTTCGTCTGTCTCAGCTCTGTGCCAGAGGGATCAGGCCTATGGAAGCTGTGGAAAATACTGCACCAGCACAACAGATTTTCTCTGACTTCTCCAAAGTACATGAAATCTTCACATCTGACAGCACCTCTAAGAATGAACATTTAAAAGTGTAAAAGTTACTTTTCCTCTTTTCTCTAGAAAGTTGTGCTCTGGTACTTTAAAAATAGAGAGAACCAAAACACATGCCTTGATTTCATTTGAACTTGCCAACAACTGTCAGTGAAAACATTAAGATCTACTGTGGGAAGTTGCTTTGATACACAGGAGCACATTTTCAACAGCAAACATTACATGCCCAAGCTGGGTTATCTATCCAGTGTCCCTTGGTTCCCGGTGCATCTGGAAGAGGATGTACAAGGATGATGGAGCAAGGGTAAGGAATAATAATTACACTCACCCCAATGCAAATAGTTTATTTGCTTGTGAAACCACAGCTGATGTATAGGTCTGACTAATTGTGTGGGTCTTTTTAATCTTCCCCAGAAATACAGGATTGTTAACAGATCTGAACCAGGTAATTCATTCGTTAAAAGGCAAGGGACCTAAACACACCAGACTGTTATCCTGCACTGACTGCATGGATCAGGCTACAAATACGTGTTGAAGAAATGAGARACTATGAAAATCCTGACAACACTATTCTGGAGACATACCTTGTTGAAGGGGRAATGAACACATCTATAAAATCCTTGGATGGGAGCATTTTTTATTGTTTATCTGCTGGAAAAAGAGAGAGCTCTGAGGATTCAGTGGGACAGCTCTGCACAGGATGCGGCCAGGACTGCTCTAGGATTAGRATGAATTATGTTGTTGGATGATTCATCTTGTTTAAACTAACCAGAACAGATGTCACCCGTATCTTGGTAGGATGGGAGGAAACTTATCAGTAGACCAGGCAGAGCAGAYGGTCAGCATTCTTTAACCAAGGACAACCTGGAGCTGCTCATTAAAATCACAATGTTTTCACACATTGCAAATTTGGCAGGAAAACCAAGGTCCTTAAGTGAATTGTCTTCATTATAATACTAAAAATCATGCTTTTAGGTCAAAAAGACCATTGCCCAGGTGAAGACCCTTCCCCTGAGAATTCATAAGATGAATAAGCAACATTATAATTGTATGTAAATTGCTAACCAGTCAACGCAAGAAGGATGTTCTTGGGAGGCTACTGAGTGCTTAAATAAGGTTTAAATACAGTTTGGAAAGTGTGTGCCTGATTTGTGGGAAACCACAGAGCACTCACGCTGGCCTTGTGCAAGCCCAGAAAGAAAGGACCAAAAGTCTCTCCTGAGCATGCGGTTATTGGCTCACTGCACAGCCGGCAGCAAAGCTCCTTTCTGGACATCAGTATTTCTGAGCTCATCTTCTACAGATATCAGAGATAACTGTTGTGCTGGCTGTAATATTTGAAGAGTGAAAAGTTCTTCTTTTGCCAGAATGTGGGCCACTCTTTAAAGGCTTTCTAACTCAAGAAGTCCTGTAATAAGTTATCTTGAAACACAGAGTGAAGAAATAAAAGAAGGTTACACAGCAAAGTTATGATTCACTTAAATATCATGAGAGCAAACTAACAAAACCTCCTTTTTTTTTTTTTTTTTGGATACATATTATCATTGAAGACAGCTGGGGATGCACTGCCATCAAAATATTACAAATCAGTATAGGAATAGTAGAGCAGGTTTTCTTTTTTTTTAATGCTAACTGTGTTTATCAATCTATCCATCCTTCTATCCATCATTCTATCCATCATTCATGCATTGCAACTCACTGTCACAAATTCCCAGAATGCTTGGATATAAACAGTATTCTCACAATCCTTCATTATTTCATGTAACTAATAAGCAAGTTTTCAAACAGCTCTACAATCATGATCTCTATGCCAGATGAAGAAACTATCCCAAAGATGCATTGTATAATCCTGTAGCAAAATAAGCATAAAAGGCAGATAAGATTTCTCAGAGTTCTCAAGACAAAATTCTGAAACACAGAAATAAAACTGTGACACATTTTAAAATATGTGGATTTGGAGAGGTTCATGCCCATAGCTAGTAATATATTTGTCTTGTTAAGCTGTCTATGTAAGACTATCAAGACAGTTAGGCAAGCCATCTCAAATTGCTAAAAATCYAACCAAAACACTGGTATGTCTCTTTGTCTGTCTTGAGAACATCAGATTATCACTCAACAGTATTTTGTTCGTGTTTTCAGTTTAAGTCACACCCATGTCACAATTGCAACTGGAAGTCTTTTCTGGGCCATTGATTTCTTCAAGATCATATCTTCCATATGCATCACTATCCACATGTGTGTGCACCTATATATAAACGGCGTTCATTGAGGAATATATCTTCTCAGTCCCATAGCATCATGAAGGGGCCTATTTAGCCAAGATGACCACATCTACAATGGTTAACCAAGTGCTGTTACAAAGCTCCTTCCCTCTTATGGAATACTTCTTGGGTTACTACGAAAGTGCAAAGCCTCCCATTTTAGACTCATTTGAAATGAGGCCTTACTGCAATGGCTTTTGGAAATAAAAGTCRTATTAACTTAACATAAAACGTTGGGAGGTTTCTTATATAAGGTTTTGTTCACGTCTTTGGTTACTAGCCAAGTTCCCATACTAGGAATACAGTCTTGCTTCTAAAACTGCAGGGACATTGAGTCCATGTGCCTCTAAACACAGAGTCTTCATTCTTCACTAAATGTAACTGTCACATTAAAAAGGGGGAGGTTCCTCAAAGCCTTTTTAATTGATGAGCCTGTTAGTGTTTTGGATAATTGCACTTCAGCCTCTTTTCCATGCGGAAGATGGGATTTTTGTCAACAACCCTGAGCATGCAAGTGCAAGCCAACCACAAGACTTGCCCTTTTACCAGAAAAGGGGAGCATATCAACTGTCTCGATATAGGGAAGTGGTTACCAACTGTGTATCTAATCACAAGCGACACTCCTCACACAAAAGAACAGTTTGTTTGGAACATCTTGACCGCATCCTGCTTTGACTAGGGTATAAAACTAATCCAAGGCTTTCCAAGTTGGAGATAGATTCTCACTGGAAGCAGTAGGTCTGCTGTGGAGAACTCTTCCCTGGGGTCGGAATGCTGCCTGAGGAGTCTCCTTGATGCTGAGGGTCCTCTTACATCTTCTTGGGTGAGTGGATATTGCACATTTGTGCTAACATTATTAGTATTTGTGCTAAGAATCCCACAGTAAAGTAGAGAAATTCCTGTTTTGAGGGGGTTTCTCTTAACCCTTTTTATTCGATCAGCCTGTCAGTATCCCAAGAAACATGAGACCTTTGTGCCTGACCAGCCTGTCCGTGTTCTGTTTAGGRGAACCCTACTGGGCAACCCATCTGGCAAGCCATCATTTCAGATGATGGCTTGACTAACCTATTCAGGGAGCCACAATGGCAACATCACTGAGTCAAATCTCTTATTTCAATTATCCTAATCTCCAGAGACATAAACAAAGCTGAAGCTTTTATTATACAAAATGCAAGTGTGTGACAGGATAAGGTTCGGAGATTGTGGTTGATAGCACACTGACTGCAAAAACAAGCTTAAAACAACACAAAACCAAACTATGATCGCTAGTAACTGCTACCATGAGTTAGTCATTCAGCACACACAGAGAAAAATTTTTACACAGTAGGCATCCCTATGGAGACGGGTCCAGCCTCTTGTTGACTGATCCTAGAAGTTATCATGGAGTCTACCCTAATTTCTCCCCTCCTTGCTTCACCTTTTATACTTTTTCTTTGCATTTAGATGGAGTTTGGGTGACTAGTCACAATTATCTTGCTTTTCTCTTAAACATAGAGTTCCATAGAAATATAGAGCTCATAATCAGCTGCATGGTACCGCCAGGTCCCCATTTCCACAAGGAGAACAACAGAGCCATTCACGGTGTCCCCACCCCACTCCGTGCTCCACACTCCTCTTTGCAGGTGCTAGATTACAGGTTGTGCTGCCCAGGGCACTGCGGAGGAGTAGAGCCTGTGCATACCAACCACCCTGCAAGTGGCAACTGTCTCTCAGAAAAGGTACTGTAATGCTATAAYTTCTGTTAGGCGCTAGTTTTTCTCCAATTTTCCCAGCTTTCTCTTATTTCCTCCTTATCAAGCTTTTTTCCCACAGTAACCGACTCTGTTCATCTTGAAACTTGCTATTAAAACAGAAACAAGCTGAGCCTCCCAGAGTATTTGGAACTCCAGGAATGAATCAGACAGGGGAACAGAAGAAGCTGCATTTTAATCCACACTGTAAGAGGAAAACATTTTCAAMGGAGGAGGAAACATTTCTAAGTAAACATGAGACTGGGGAGGAAGGAAGGAAGAAAGGAAATGAATTCCTCCCATCTAATTCCTCAGCCGAGAGGACTGATATCTTAGGGGTCACTTGAAGGGTAAAGTGTCTTTCAGCTCCATTTTTTCTGATTACAAAGAGACTCTCCCATGGCTGCTTGCTGGACCGAATACATCAAATAGTTTAACGAGTGATCAGTACATGTAAAATACATCATTTGCTTTACATTAGGAAAAAGAAAAAAAAAAAAAACAACAATGCAATGCTAGTTTGGAAGTTTGCAGCAAAAAAAAAACTAAGACTGAATAACTAAGAAGATTAATTCACACCACAAAGACACGTATTATAGAAGTGGAAGACAAAATTGGAAATTGGAAGACACAATATTACAGAATTCTTTTGTTCTGTCATAAGCATAACATGATTTTCAGCAATCATCTTGCATAAAATACTTTGCTAGGACTTCCTTCACGGGCAGTAAAACAGTAAAACACTGTTGGTTTCATCCCCCAAGAATCTCCCACTTGTGTGTCACAGTCTTACCTCTTCTCCTGCTTTTCCAGAAACAATGTAGGATGTGGTGGTAGCAATAATCCTCGGGGGAACCTGGACTGCACAGTGCATTTGACAACAGGTAGTCTCCACCTGGAAGTCATCTGGCCAGAACGTGCCTCCTACCACTCTGTGCCTGTGTTTGGTTTCCAATGTAGAATAAATATTCTCATATCATAATCATTATTATCTCAGCTGTGGATAATTTGTACTTCTCTCRTTTTGTGTGATATTGATCCCTTTAAATTCATTTCATTATATACATGCACACACCAATGGAAAATTTAATACTAAATTTTCTGCTGGGATCTTCCCCAACCAAAAAGCACTAGAGGTAGCATTTTGGTAAACAATATACTCACCCAAAGAAATATGCAAAAAAAAAAAAAAAAAAAAAAAAAAACCCTTACAGTGTGTAGAAATATAGAAAATGATCCTTTTCTGGGAGAGAATCAAAATATGCAGAGACCATATGTGAAGTGACATGAGGGAAAACCACCCAAATCTCTCGTGAGCCTTTGAAGAAGCTTAAAGAACTCAGAAGTTGAGATCTTCCTTTACCATAAGGACCTAACTACAGAACTTTTTCCTTTTGGAAACCAAAGTGGATGCATTTTTTCACACTGCAAAGACTTGGCATGAGCTCTATCTGCTCATAACTTTTCCCTTTCTGTGAGCTGGCAGAGTAATCTTGGAAAATATGGCCTTAGATTCATAGAATAAAGGRAAAAAAGAGTACAAAGACTTCATTCTGTTAAAGTAGTGGTAATGGGTGGTAACATTTCTTTTACAATTCTCAGATACAAAGTGACTGCTACTGGTAAGTATGTTATCCTAGACTGTGAGGCTTATTAATAAGGAATAAAATTGCAAATCCTTTTCAATAGGAAGGGAAAAAAAAAAGAGGTTTCTCTAACTAAGGAAGGAACTGAATTAATAGTTTAGATACAGTCATTTGATTAAAAAAAGTGTAGTCCGTACTTTTATTTTTTATATGGACAAGTGATTACAAAAATGCCACTGAAAGAACAGAAGCTTCTTCACAAAACTGGGTCAAATTGAAGGCATTTCAAAGTAAAGCATTATCAAAAACCCCATGATTATTCAGAAAATTCTCACTGGGCATCTATTAGCCATAGCGAAGTCACATTCTCCACATTGTCTGCAATTTATCTCAATCAGTCGTCTTCTTCTTCTTCTGACCAGAAGTACTGCAGGTGGGAAAGCATGGAGTTAGCTCACTTTCATATTGATGTTCTTCTTTGTCTCTTCTCTCAAGACCTTTATAAAATATGAAGTGAGAAAAAAAATTCTTTTGTTTGCTTGTTTTTTATCTTACTTACTTTACTAGAGACAATAGTCCTAGATGTGGTGGAAAACACTTGTAGATCCAAATGCTTATCGCACCATTAGCACTTGCAAGAAATCTCTACAAAAACAACAGTAGAGGCTAGAAGCTTGTAGTAATAGTTGTATTGAATAAAGTATACTGAAAAGGGCTCTCAAAAAACAAAAATAAAAACAATAATAAGAAAATAAAAACTCATTTTTTCCTCTATTTCTTAAATTGTCACAGATATCCTGCACCAGAGATAGAGTAGCACTGTGCTCTTAGGGATCTCAGTGCTGTTGGGTCACTGGCCAGGAAATTCCAGTACTGATCTTTATTCCCCAGGGACAAATGGAGGCTTGTTATCTCTGGCCAACTCTTGGCCAGCTTCAAGACACTAACGCATCTGTTTCGACAAGATATTAATGCCTTATGCTTCTGGCAAGAACAACGCAACCTATGTGGCCATGAGCAACAAGAGCTACGTGCTTTGCTCATCTTTTATACATTGACCAAAWGTTTGTTGTCTTCCACCGAATTTTGGAGAGCCTGGTACCTTGTACTAGAAATTTATACAGCTCTGTGTTTTGGCACTGTACCCTTATCATCAAGGTAAAGAGTGGATGTATCCTTCTGCCTCCCATTTCATTTCATGACAGGACCATACATGTTATCAGCCGTACCTGCACAGGAAGCCTGAAAACAATCAAACATAAATATATACCAATCACATCAACATATATGTTTTATGTGTTGTGTTTTATTGTTTTGCTGTGTAATGTGAATATCTAGGAATTCTGTGAAATCCGGGAACTCCAAGAATATATACAAGACAAAGAGTGTGGTAGCGTTATCTTGAATCACATCTGGAAAAACATCACACAGATGCCACATCCTGAAAGAATTTTAGTCTGCATCTGAAGTAAATAAACYACGTTATCTTTGTTAGCAGATATGCGTGAGGACTGTTAACTGCCTTGATGGGTGGTCTACAGATAAGCAGGATACAAGCTAAAGAGAAAAGCAGCTGCTGCTGGGAAGATCAGTCATGCTCTGAGCAGGGACAGAATCACCCTGGACTGCCTCCATGCAAGAAGCACTCTGAATTTATTGTCTTTCTCACCACTGGGCATGCAGAACTGATCCTTCTGGTATCCTGATGGGTACGTCTACGTATGTAAGTGTTGTCCTGTTATCAATGTAAGGGAAACACATTACCAATATTTGATGTCATGTTCTGCTCTTTATGCTTGCTTGACCTGGTTATGAAGTTCAGGTAGGACACTTTGTTTCCTTCACTGTAGACTCTCTCAARGAGGCAGCACAGTGTCCTTCCACCTCACGGAGATGAGGATGGCACATCAATGCCTATGCGTTGATCATAAAATTCTTGCATGCAACAAACTATTTCCTTTTTGTCCACCTTCTTCCACATTATGTTTATATTTAGGTTGATCTTTCTGCTTTTAGTTACACAGTTTGCATTTTTTAAGCAGAAAGTGATGTTTTAATATGTATGATATGTATCTTTTTGTTACACCCCTTCCTATGAAAACCAGTGGCACTAGTTTTTATTTCCCTTTTAACATTCTGGGTTTCCAGCACTTGTGCCCTTGATCAGCAGAGAAAAGTTCCCTCTTCTTGGTTTTTCCAGACTAAGAAACATGCACTAACCCATAGCAGAGTTCTAAATTTCTCCATCACCATTTGTTGTCTGCAARGTGGCTGCCCCGTGTGAAATGAGTTGATAGTCACATTTTACTCCTTTATTTCAGAGTGGTGCAAGCCCAAGTGCTTGGTGATTTACCACAAATAGAGCACACCCTTCTGACTTTCCAAACTGTATTTACATACTCATTAACACTCCAAGTACATTCCTCTTCCGTTGATTGGTTAGTGATTTACGTACAATTATAATGATGTTTACTCATTATGTCCATTGTTACACATTCTCTGTGGATGGATCTTCAATTGGGCAAGAATCTTTTTGACCCGTGGGCATGATTTGTAACATTAAAATGGAAACAACTCACTTAGGGTACATGGGTTTTCCTGCCAAGTTTGCAATGTGTAAAAAACATCTTGATTTTAATGAGCAGTTCCAGATTGTCCTTGGTTAATGAATGCTAACTGTCTGTTCTACTGATAACGCTGTCTAGTCTACTGATAAAATTTCCTCCCTTCCCACCAAGATACAGGGGACATCTGTTCTACTTAAACAAGGTGAATCATCCTACATCATAATTCATCTTAATCCTAGAACACAATTCATCCTACAATGGTATCATTCTTCCCATTCCTTCCCTGCAGTCAAGATTGGGGCTCTTGGGTAGCACCATCCTTACTACAGGAGGATGCAATGGTGTGTCCCTTCGTTATGTGTGAAAATGCAGTGATAAAAAATGAGATTACTTTGGATGGAAATATCACTTAATGTTGGCTTCAAAAGGCAACAAAGAAGCATTTTCAAATTTGGCCCATGGTCACCAGCTTAAGAAAAAACCTGGAGAAATGAGGAGGATTTGACAGCTGGCATCGCTTTTTCTCCCTGTTGTCTCAAGAGACCTTAGACCCAACATTGGGACGCCTGCATGGTGCTAGCCTGCTGCTGGTCAAAGTGCTCAGGGACCCCTGTCCTGGGGCACGATTGCTGGGCAGATTCCCTGCCACCACTCGTCCTGGTGCTTGTGACTGGGAGGGCATGCGAGAGCTAAACCCCTTTTGTTTCTGTCTTTATGTCATATTTTCACTGTCTTCTACTTAATTGGCTTTCCCATTCTCATGATACTACCATTATTCCTTCAATATTAGCTTTAGCATATTTCTTGTGTCATCATTGCACTTTCTCCAACATTATCTTAGTAGCATTCCATCCCTAATGCAACTTTTCATACCTAATATTCACGTAGAAGACTTAAATTAGGAAAGGAAGCCGACCTATAAATGGTATTTCATTTCAGGCTTGTGGTTTTTTTTTTTTTTTTTTTTTTTTTTTTTGAATATACAGCATCCTTTACATATTATACAAAATAGATATGAATATTAGAGCAGCCATACCACTTTCCTATGACTTACCATTTTTCAATTATTTAATCAGCCTTGTCAGAGGTTAAAGACATTGAATTGTTACCCTGACCTTCTCTAAAATCCTGAAATCCAATTGTGAGATGATATGTGTCAAGGACTRTTAGTTTCATTGGTATTGAAGATATCAGTCCCTTAACTTTAAGATTTTTCAGCCTTTTGTTAAGGATTGAAATGGATGTAGAAAACGTACTCACCCATATCAATATGGTGCTACTGCACCATATCAGTGTGCCATGGTAACATCTCAAAGGCAACTGTGTTGATTTCTCTTGAGGATTGAGAAGAAATACAGGAACACAATACAGGAACATAGGCCTGTAAAACATCTGTAATAGTTCTACCTTCACATATCTGTGTTTCTGATACACTCTTTTGGCAACTCTTTATGCTAATCCAGTGTTATATCCTTGAACATTTTTGACAGTGTTGTCCTTCACTGTCCTTACGTTGAACTGCATGAAAAGGGATGTTCTCAGAAAGCCTTTCTGTCTGTGCTTATATGTGCAATGGAAATATGCTACTAATGGAACTGACCTACTCTTGGGACCACTCTACTTACTTGACTCCTATCATAAAGCACTGTGACCTGCTCAGTGATGTGCAGTGCATGCCAAGAGAGGACAACTTCAGGAAAAAATTAAAAAAGGCAAAAAAAAAGTGTGACTTTTTTTTGTTGTTTCATTTTCACTGTACTCATGATTATGTTTCTCTTCTTTTATGACAGTAACCATGAGGTGGAGCAATCTGGAAAGAAGGGGAGATTATTCTTAGTTTTCCAGTAGAATAAGGAAAAGGTTGAAACTGTTACTATTAAAATTCCATCAGCTCTTATGTTTAATTACAATGATTAAAACAAAACAAACCAACCTATGCCTTCCTTAATACTTTCATACCCACAGAATACACTGTGGGGAAGGATGGGGAAAGACAAGGACATTATTTCCTTGTGCCTTGTTTTTTTTTTTTCTTAATTATTCAAAATAAATAAATAATAACCTCCATTTCTTTCTTTTTTTTTTTTTTTGTCTCAGGATAGACATTCTACAGGAGTGACATCTCCATTTACCTCTTGGATAATGACTATTATGACCTGCCAATTCATACACAAATGGTCTGCTTGTTTGCAGAACCAAAAATGCTAAAGTTGAGAAATAAGAGGGTTGTGTCTCTTCCGTTCCTCAAACGAGTGTGCTGCTGTGGTGCTACACTGGGAGCTGTACTGCATCCTGGAGCTACAAGATAATGCTGAAAGGCAGAGGGAAGGGCACAGTACGACCCTAACGTATATGTGTGTGTATAGATATACTGATAAATATAAGCCACTTCCTTCTTTTCTGCCTATAAAAGCAGAAGCGAGTACTGTAAGCCTAAACCACCACAGTCTTTACACTATCACTGTGGAATTCTGATACCCGTGTGATAAAATCAACTAAAATGCTCTGCATTTAGTTTAGGAATGTTGTCCATGCCCATTCACTTTAAAATTTAATATTTCAGTCTTGTCAGTGATGTCTCTGCCCTACGCCTGCAGGTCTGATTAGAAAATAGGACATTATCACTCACCCCTGACATCTATTTTGTACTGAAGGTGCCATCTGTTTCTAATGTTCTCTCCCGGTGCTTTATAGGACTTGTCAGTTATTACAGTTTAATTGATATAAGCACAAGAGATCAGATAACAAAACAAACCACTTCCTGAAATTCAGAATTTAAAGAGACTTACCCATTACGCACCTAGCAAACCCTTTTGCGCCTGCTGCATTTCCATTCTGTTCCGAGCAGTGCCTTCAGTTCTGCTCACATAGATGTTCCCAATGTTCACAGCAACTGGAAAATCGCACAAATTCCAGGGAATCCCCACAGACTTTACCTACCTTCTTAAACTGATATTACTAAACTGGCACAAGAGAAGGAGAAAAGAGATCCCAAGAACAACATAGACCTTGCCTATGTGTGTGCTCTGCAACGCTCTATTGTAAAGCCTGAGTACAAAGATCGTGGGGCACACGATGCCAGCCAGCATTACTGAATGAGAGCGGAAAGGGCAGGAATATTCCTGGCTCCTGCATTTAGAAATGGGGATGGAGCACTGAAGAAAGCTCATTTTGTATTAACACATTCATGAAGTTTTATTAATAGCTATTGGAAGCTATTGGAAAGAAAATAAAAGAAGAAAGTGCAGTTGTATGACCTTTCTTTCTCACACATAAGCAGAAATAGTGTGATCAAACAAAGTCCTCAGCCAGAGAAAAAGACTGAGTCCAGAAGAATCCTTTCCTGATCTTGCAGGAAACTCAGTACATGGGACACTGGCTCCTGGCACTAATTCACTTCGGTTACTCCTATAGTAAAGTTCAGATGCGATCAATAAAACTCATAGATCTCTCCCATGCTATCAAATGCCAGATGCTTCATTCAAAGTGACTGACCCAGGAGCTATGGAACATGATAGAAAAATGGTTCCCCACTTTTAAGCCTTTTTCATTATATGTAATAACGGTTAAAAAGCAATTAAGAGACTTACAAACAAGAGAGTAATTTAAAAACAGCCAAGAACTCTGCTCTGCAATTCAGTGATTATAGTTCTATCGATTTATCTTGCAAAACTTAATTGAGCAATGAAGAATAAGCATTTTAATGGGTGAATAAAATGTATCTAATTCGCCTTTTAATTTTATTATGCTCATAAGTGCCAGGTAAGTCCACTAAAGCGGATTTTACTAGCCAGCAAAACAGGTCCACTTTCCAAACTGTTAAATATATATGAAGATTTCCCATGGTTTTGGGGTGAACTAGAGAATATTTGAGTACATTGTATTTGTCTTTTTTTTTATATATAATTTAAGAATAAATGCAGTATTTTCTCTTAAGTTCTAGACAAAAAAGAGTGTAGGTAAATAGGTAAAGTGGCCTTGTTAATGAGCAAACTAGGTAGCAGGTAATAAAGCATAGAGTGAGAGAGTCTRTGGGTGTTCTCCGAGTCAGGAGATATGCTAAAAAGTGTTTTGCAAAACTTAGAATAAGACAGAAATAGCTGGGGTTTTTTTCCATTTTGTTTTTATGATCAATTTTGTTCTTATTTTATGATCATTTAGTTCTTATTTCCCCCCCTACACAAAAGAGGAAGACACTTGAAATATTCATTTCAGATTCACTACTATATAACTATGTACTTATATTAAGTTGTGACTGTTTTAAGCTAAAATAAATTATATTAAAGATCTCATAAATGTAAAGTATTCTTGAAACAGGAAACCAGCAGAACTAGAAAGAGACTAAAAGAAATATCCATATTTATGTTAAAGTAAACATTGGTAACCTTTAAGCTCCTTTAAGAATCTTTAAGCTCTGCTGAGAAACCATCTCAACCTTTAAGCTCTGCTGAGAAACCATCTGTTGTGTGAGAACTATTTCCCTTCAAAGTAAATTATTTGTGAATTGCTGCAAAGGGATTTCTTCCAACCTTCCTCCTTAATGAAAACTGACCTATTGTCACAGACAGGATCTTGATTAGATTAATTGCTTTAGCCAGTTGCTAAACAGACTAAGTACTCTGAAAACTGAGAATGGATTTCTTTTCTTTTGAAAAGCAGCGAGATGACAGGGAAGAGTCGGCAGTTTAGAGAAAGACAAAGAGTTTAATCACCTTGATATGATAGCAACTTTGGAGATTGTGCTCCTTTTTATTTCAGGAATAATGGCAATGCTTCTTAGTGAGAAAAAGGTAAAGTGGGGACAAGGACGGGTTCCTGAACACCAGCTCACTGACAGAACACCAGGAGCTTGAAGAGGTCCCATGTCACGGGGCTGCTGCTGCACTTGCAAAGCGGTGAGGGAACAGCAGCTGTGGGCATGACTGCGATGTGAGCGATGTGAAACCTGGAAATTTAAGAGGAGAAAACTGATGAAGCAAACAAGCACACAAGACTTCAGTTGTTTATTATTGGGCTCTGAGAGCGTACATTCAGCCGCGGCCAAGCCACTTCCCACCAAGAGGAGGAACTGCGCATGGTGGCGCTGGCCTCATGCTGGTCTGCGGACGCAACACAAAGCCCCAGTGTTCCCACCATAGCACAGAGGGAAAGTGATACGTGTCACCACAGCCCCAAACCCTCACTGAACTCCAGAAGTCTTTTAAAGTTCATGGAAATTTCACCTTCACCTCCGTATTATCCCTTCTCTCCTCTACACCAATTTGATTCAAATTTGCTGTCTTTTTAAMTGCACAATTAACTTGTCATTCTCACCTTATAATGAGAACAAAGTTTTAAAGCAATACAGATATATTTTTCCCCACACTGTATTTATAATTCACAAGATTTGAGTGATTATACAGATCTGCCTCCCAAAAAAGAGCAAAGATAAACCTGAAAATCYGCATTTGAAGACCGCTCAAGAGGAGGGAGTTGTCCTCTTACATATCGTAATTTCTGTAGATATCATCATTTGCTGAAWACAAAACAATCAATTGGGCACCAGCACAGTGCTCATAGTCATGGAAATCAGTCATATCGCTTACGCATATCTAGACAAAGGAATTAAGCACTGCTGGCTATTTTTGTGAGCAAAGCTAAGGCAGGCATTGGAGAGCATCAGAACATCRCTTTCATGAAGAGGGTCTACAGCAAATAAGACTCCAGCAAACATCTATAAAACAACAAAAAACAGGGAGGAAGATGTCTGTTAAGGGAGAGATGAAAGGGGCCATAAATGTTGGTTGGATCATTATGAGGAGATTAAAGAAGAGGCAACCTGTGTCTTTGTGTGTGCCAGCACATAAGAATGTACAACACAACTGAAGAAAGCAGGCAGGGCACAGCACGTCCCCCTGTCAAGGAGCACAGGAAGAACAATGTGAAAATAAAGCAAGAGAAAAGAGCTACTTTGAGAATCCCCATTCCACCTGCTCTGAGGACATTTTGCACAGTGACAGCCCTCTCTGCACCAGCATGGGCATCAGCTTCGCTCAGCAGAGCCTTCATTCGCTCCTTTTGAAGTCCTGCCTAGACCTGTATCAGTGCCCACTCCTAGACAGTGCTCTTGGTCTTGCCACCTCTGCCACAACAATCTCAGCTCTTTGCTACTCCAGCCTTAGCTTCAAACCTGAACCCTATCTGCACTCCAGGCTTTGGCAGCTCATCACTGAGARGCTTCCTATTGTCTCCTAAGTACCAGTTAAAGATTATAAAATTTGACCCAAAACTTTTCTTCACAGAGCTACTGTAAGTAAGTAAACTTGTAGAGTAGGTACAGACTGTACCTACCACCTTGCAGGTGCTCAGGCTATTTGTTCTGTCTCTTTTTTCTGCGGTGCAAGTAGCCATTAACTACGGTCAGAAAGAGCAGGCCCAATCCTGAGTAACACAGCGATCAATCATTCAGATCAATTTCCATACTAATCAAATAAAATCACACATAGCACACAGCTTGCCTTCAGCACYGCTATGTTCCTCCCCGAATTTCGTATCATCACATTTCCCGTCTCYGCATTTCCTCCATGTGGGAAATAAGGAGGCTGCAGTATGCTCTTTGATATRCTTGTGCCTGCTTCGTCTCCCCACATTACACCAGTGCTGAAATTGTTGGAGAGAAATAGCAAGAAACAAGCAACATATTTCGGAAGATTCTTCTCACAGACTATAAAGGATGAGTTTTGGGGTCTTTTTTAGGACAAGTCATATAAGAGAGAAATAAGACATAAGACATATGTCAGAAGTATTTGTGCTGTAATCTTTTGCCTTGGAATCTTGCTTCCTTCCACGGGCTTAATTCCTTGGCTCTTTTTCGTTTTTTTCCCCATTTTGTGTGTCTTTTTCCAAGACTGGACAAAAGGCCAATTGTCAAGGCTATATCTTCCCGCAGGTCTAACAGAAAGAGAAATGTTGCATAGAGTGTGCCAGAACCTTGCTACCAGCCCCATGCTGTCAGACTGCAGGTTTTCTGCTGACAAGTCATCTGTGCTGTGGCCACATTGCCATGCTCTCTACCTATATTTTAAATTGCAATTCATTCATTCTATTCTTAATATTTTTTATTGCAAACTGTACATTAACAAGTCATACCTATAAACACTGTGCTTACGTTTAGCTTGTACAAAGCAAATATAAAAATGTAGTATCTAACAAAATCCACATGCCTTGTCATTATTTTAGTGATAAATATCTATTACTGAAGTAACTCAAACATGCATTTATTTTTGCAGTGAAATGTTCATTCTCTATCATGGTATACTGCAATAAAAAAGCAAGTATTTTGGAAAGGATTTGACATTTTTAGACTGCCTTTGACTGTATATCATATGACATTTCCCAGACAAGAAGCAGAGAGGGTAATGGTCAGGGTAAGAATGATATCTGAGGTACCTGAGCCCCACTGGGAGATCCATATCAGCCAGAGTCAATAAAGTGCACTCTAAATCAATAAAGGGAGCATGAGCCTGCACTTTTGGTAAACAGGTCATTACATCTCTGTGCTATCATTGTAATAATGATGAGAGAGTGTCCAGAGAACTGTAAACAATGTCTTTCTTATGATTTTTTTAAGGGCAAATGCTTAACTGTAGTTCTCTTCCTTGGAAATCTCTTCACAGCTAAGACTGTCTTATAATGTCATTTCTAAGGACAGAGATAGATGGACTGTCTTACAGAATCATCAGGTCAGCAGAGCCACAGCATGTGACATGCATTACCAAGACCTGTGGTGAACTGTGCATGGGAGGCATTATAAATGTTATTTTCACAACGAAATTAGGCAGTGTAGAGCACCCTGATTAACCTCAAAGCAAATAACTGAACATGTTAACTGAACACGCTGCACCAGTCTGAAGAACTCAGACTGGTGTCAAAATAAAATTCAAACTTCCATGGGAAATTAGGAATTCCTTCATCTATGCTATGGATTGAAAGACACTCTCTAGGAAAAGTGCTATAACATATAGACAGTGAACAATCACAACCTGTATGGTATAACAAAATGAAAACAATTCTGAAGGTTTCAAGTTGAGTATGATGAATGAACAAAATGCAACCATCAGTGTAATAAAAATCTGCCAGTTATAGATAAATGATCAGTTGAAAATTGCTTTGAGGTATCTAGATGCATCTTATTTGCTATGAGACTGTTCAGAGAAATGGGTTTATCCATGTATCTTATTCTGAAACAGAAAAAGATTTCATCCTTCACAATTAAGCTATTCAAGGCACCCTGCACGTGATGCACTAGCTGTGTCTGAAGCCTGTAGTTTCCCACACAAAGACGTTGTTGCCTCAACCACTGTGACTAGTGTCACTAGAGCAGACCTCCCAATGCCCCACAGCTGCTTCGCAGGCTCACAAGAGGGAACTGAAACTGTAGTTGTTTTAAGAATGCAGTTCATTGCTGCAATCTTGTTATCCTTCTCATTTCTACTGTCCCACTCTAACTGCTGGATGGCCTGCCTAAAGATCTGCAGTTTAACATAAAACATCTGCATTAGAAATCACTGTTGTTTGCTTTCTACTTCCCCTCACTGTGGAAACACTGCAGGAAAGGAGGCTCATGAGTGGGATGACAAAACCAAGGGGGCTGCTGTGTGTTTCTATTTATTATTGGGAGCCAGAGACCCAGCAGCTGCCAGCACAGTTTTGAAGCGCTGCCATCTCTTAAAAAAGGATGGCCATAGATGGTCAAAGAAATCATGGTCTATTGGGTACGTTCTCCTGCATAAGGATGGGAAGGGTTCCTGACAAGTCCTTGAGTTCATGTTCAGTCATCTCACCATGCCCGATGAACAGCAGCACAAGTGACCATGGGTACATGCGCAGCATGGTGAGCACCTGGTCTGGGTGGTGAATTCCACCCTCATGTGAAACAATGATTTTTAGGTGAGAATACATACAGATGGTTGCATGAGGGTGTCARAAACTTCTTATCAAGTTAAAAATGAAACTCTCATAAGTGCTACTCATCTGTTATTACATCTGAACTTGAGTTCACATGCAATCACCTTTAGATAATACTTCCAAGGGAAAGGCACACTGTCCCCTGCTGCTGCTTAGGACAAGATAGTTGATGTAGTAGCTTTGTACAAAATCATTTGTTTGAGAAAGGAAAAGCAAATAGAATTTACAATTGTTTACTAAAGTATATGTGACTCCTTGCTAGAGTTGTACAGAGAACATTTTTTTTGCAAACATCCTCTGGTATCTTCATCACAGAGCATGTATTTCAAGATCACTGAAAACAGTGATTCTCCTTGAAAGAATCCCATCATCCCATAAATTTAGAGAAAGAAGTCACAACACTGTGTCACTCAGTGAAGACAAACTGCTGTTGTAAAAGACACAGTTTAAACTATATTCTTTTTACAGACATTTAAAGTCATCTGGCAACCTCTTTTCTTACAGTTCACTGACCTCCTGGCTCCTTAAGTACTGGCCACAGCTCTGAAGTGCAAGTGAAGTAAGATTTATGATTACTCACTTCAACAGAGGTCCATCTGGCAGTAACCAAAGGGAATCTATTTCATTTAAGTAACTGATTTTCATCAATGCAACAATAATGGTGTCATAATTAGATAGATATTAACAGCAAGCAGTAGAAAAAGCATTACCTGCACATATCCTTCTAAATGAACCATTGTTTTGCAGTTCAGAACACATTTGTAATGGTACTAGGACAGGAATGTGTACAGGACCTATTTAGTGACCCTTGAACAAAAATGTATACTATGCATGAGTAGAATGAGGTACTGTTGTCAGGAGGCAACATCTAGAAAATAGCAGCTATGTTATCAGAAAACTACATTTTGAAAGATATTGACGGAAATTGGGAACTACCTATTGGAAAATCAAACAACTGTTGTATAAGTTGCATGTCTTTTGCACCTCATGTAACTGTATACATATATATAGTGTTACCTATTGAAGCAGAATCATCTTTAGATTGTATGCAAGGCTGCAACCAAATGAACTGATTATGTGGATGCCATTGCTTCAGAATAAGGTATGCCGAACCCAGTACTGGCAATCTTTAATGCTACTTTTGTGAGTTTATCTCAACATTATTTAGAAAAAATCACAAATGCCTTTGTGGGTTCTAGTATTCTAMTCTTTAGGCCTCTCTTTCAGCATGGGTTATGCAGTGCCGATAGCAACACTGGATTTATGACCCCTTGGGATTAGTGCCTAGTTTCACAAAGCAAGTAAATAGTCTCTTATGGCTGTAGCTCTGATCACGTTTACCCAGATATCAGCACTGGCTGCCAGTCGGATCAATTCACAATGATATCACGGTAAAGGTTTAAAGTAGTTTCTCGTATTGTTCTATAGGGAGGAATGCAAAAATAGCAAGACGTCATGGACTTGTGGCACAGGATGGATGTGCCAGGACGGGCTGGGAAGCAGATGGCCAATCCAGCTCAAACACGCTCAGAACTGTGTCGAGGCAGGGACTAAATCACAGATTTAGCAAAAMTGTGTTTGCCATTTGGCAAGCTGTACAGTGAATAAAGGAGCAGCGCAAGAGTTAAGTGGGCTGCTAGATAAGGTGTGAGGATTTCGGTCAGCTATCCTTGGCCAAGGGTATTCTAGGTGATCCCTGCTTAGGGAAGGCCAGGCACCCTGTGAGTCAGCGCTTGGGAGAGGCCGATTTAGGAGCTGGGCCTAAGGCGCAGAGCTGCGGTGTGAAAGGGGGCACTGAGGGGACTGGCAGCTTTGCTCTCTTTCAGGCTGCAGGAGATGCTGTGGCAAGCAGGAAAGGCCCTTCCTGATGAGCAGGACACCCTGCAAGGGCGGCAGAGGCTTCGCGGGGACGAGCAGCGAAGCCGAGCCTAGACGCGGCCAAGCCCGGACTACAGCCCCCATGATGCCCCGGCGCGGGCGGCGCCGCCATTTCGGCGCAGCCGCCTCCCGCTGGGCCGCGGCGGCCGCGGCTGCCCCGGCGGCGGTTGGGAATGGCGATCCAGCTGCTGCTGGACCTGTGAGTGCCCCGGCGCCCCTTCCCGGGGCCGCGGGGCCTCGGGCGCGGCGGCAGCCCGGCACGGCGGGGTGACAGGGAGCCCTCGGTGACAGGGCGGGCAGGGGGCTGAGGAAGGCGCAGGGTGTGAGCGGGGTTGTCGCGGTGAGAGGGTTGTGTGGCGTGCGGGTGTTGTCAGCCGCTTAGCGGGAGTGACAGCCGGTGASAGCGGAGTGACAGGGTTGGCAGCRTGGGCGAGAGTCTGCCAGGTGGTTGTAGGGGACAGGGCTTGGCAAGGGTGACGGGGGAGGTGACAAGGTTTGGTGGGGTGACAGGGTTTGGTGGGGTGACGGCAGTTGTAAGGTATGTGACAGGGGTGGTGGTATGTGGCAGGGTATGGCCAGAGGTAGGTGACAAGGTTTGGTGGGGTGACAGGGGTGACAGGTTCTGTGGGGTGACAGCGTTTGGCAGGTATGTGACAGGGGTGGTGGTATGTGACAGGGTTTGGCCGGCGTGACAGGGTTTGATAGGTGACAGGGTTTGATGGGTGTTTGACAGGGTGACAGAGCAAGTGTCAGGGTTTGGGATGGGGACAGGGGTGGCAGGTAGAGGTGGGGGTGTCCCTGACAAGTCTGGATGTGGAGGGGTGATTGTGGGAGCCTGATCCCCCCCCCCCTTTTTTATTTTTCCTCCCGGCTCCAGCAAATCAACTAAATGATATTTTGCTTTGGAGATTTACATGGTATCAGATTATGCTTGTGTTTGTTTAGGAGGGAGTTACAGACAGTATAAGGAGAAAAAAAAAATCCTGAGTTTTCTGTGTGAAGAGGGCGGAAGCAAATTATGAATTTTAGAGCCAGCGTTAGGGAGGCACAGTCGAAAGTAATTGGGGAGGCCGGGAGGAACCAGCTGTGTCAGACTCGACTTCAGGCTTGACACATCATCCAGTTGGACTGCTAGATACTGACAGCTGAACCAGAATCACAGAATATTCAAGGTTGGAAGGGACCTCTAGAGATCATCCAGTCCAGCCTTCCCGCTCAAGCAGGCACACCTAGAGCATGTGGCACAGGGTGGCATCCAGGCGGGTTTTGAAGACCTCAAACCTGAACATGCTAATAGAATTAAAGTTTTCTTTTTTTTTTTTTTTTTTTCAGAAAGAGTGTTGAGTGTTTTTGCAAAGCTAAAAGAGTGCCCATACTTTTCTGGCTCACATGATTAATCTGTTAAAATATTAAGATTTGTATTATACTGCATGCACATGTTCTCTTGATTAGCCCTAGGTTTTAGACACAGTAGTTTTTCTTTACATACACTGTGTAGCTTAATATTGATATTTTCTACTTTTAATTGGTTACTTACCATTTTATACTACTTTCTAAGTTTTATTAAGGCAATTTTCTGTATTAGTCTTTATATCAGTAAGACTAATACTTAAAACTAATAATTGCATGTACTTTTATATAAATGCATGTAATTCTCGGGTACTATTTCTTGTCTCGTAATAATTGATATCAAGCTGCATTTTAAGCTTCTTGCTTGTTCTTTTAGGCCTGTTACTTAACTAGCAGCACTTAGAAATTGAAAATTGGGGCAAATGAACAAGTGAGTGATGGAGCAGTCCATTTAATAAGGTCATTATTTTTACGATCTCCAAAGCTAACAGAAAGTGGTTTACAAAAATGCTTGCGCTGCTTGGTAGTGGCGTCTGTAAGGGCTTTTCCCCTCACCAAGAAAGATAAATCAACACTCCAATTCACATGCACAAAATCATCCCAGTGGAAATACTTAGAAACTTTTTATGTTTTATTATTTAATGGTGTTTCTGCAAATAAAAAATAACCAATCCTAAAGAGCACAGGAAGATGTACCTATTCTATTATTTGTCATTAAGCCAATTTTAGTATCTGCTCTTGTGGTTTGTTTCTTCTGACAAGTTCCCCCTTCCAACATCTGTTCAGCTGTTCTRTTTCACGTGATATAACTTACTGTAAGTTGTGTTTTGGTGTAAGTTAGGCTATTTTAGTACAACTAAAAGATCTAATCTCTATAGAAATATATGTAAAGGCTGTAAAGCTTAAAGGTCATAGACCTCTTTAATATGTACCCTTGGCGCTTTTGGAAGATATGAATGTGCCATTTGACACTCTGTAGGCAGGTCTGAAATATAATCAGGTGTTATAACAAGTATGAAAATGTGGCCCTAACGCTTTGTTTAACTGAGATGAAAGAGAAGTGGACCTGCCTTGGAACCAGCAGCCCTAGCTGAAGATTTGTGCTGCCTACCAGCTAGAGGCTCCGCTGTGAAAGGGCTCCTCTTCATGCTCCCAAATCATCCCCAGGCTTTAARGGTGTTCTGGTGAGCTGGGCTGGTCATGACAATGAATGTGGCTGATTTTTTTTTTTGTTGGCCTATAAGTGATCGGGGAAATGTGTGCACAAATGACCAGGTGATGGACCTGAAAGGGCAGTAACTGAGCTTGGTGGTTGCAGGGAACCGCAGGAATTGGTAGGGTTTGGAGCCGGTGATTCCAGCAGTGCAGAAGATGACATCTTTTTTCATGGCTTCGTTGTTCTGGTGCTACTACATAATGACTTTTTTTTTTTTTTTTTTTTTTTTTTTTTTTTTGACGGTCTGTAACTTTCCTTTATTTCAGATGCATTCACAGCTTGACAAAGAACCTTTCGAGATACAGCGCCGATATTAAGTCATTGCCACCCAACATAAAGGATAAACTGATTAAATTAATAAGTCTACAAGGACAAATAACCGATTCAAATATCGGTGAGGTAAGAACCAGTGCAGAACTACTCACCCTGTGCTAGTTTATTACACAAAAATTGAGACAAACTGAAACTCTGCATGAGTCAACAGATCAGTTCAGGGTGGTTTATACCACCCACATCTTTGCATTTTTTTTCTTTTATGTATTTGTAAGCTCCATAATACTAACAGTCTTGTACTGGAAATAAGAAGACTGTGCTTTTTGTGACAAGGACACTAAAAAATACTTCAGTCAGTGGTAATTAACCTTTGTTTAATCASCTGACATATCATCCCTTTTCAGTATGGAAAACCAGAACTGTTGCAAAATTTTGTCTTTGTTCCTGAGCATAAGAAACTGTGGAATGTTTAAGGGGCTCAAGGCAGTTCCAGGTTGTGCCACAGGTTACAATACCAGTTTCTGGTAACTTGTCTGACRTGCAGTAAATGTATAGCTCAGAATGGTATTTGGAATGTGTTTTAGTTTTTTTTTTTTTTGTTGGTATTGTATCTTTAGTGACATGGATGATAATATATAGTATAAATGATAGGAAACATTTTAAAATTATTATTGAAGGTGGCATGTGGAGGGGTTTCCAGCTCTATGGAAAGTTGTTTCTCCAGTCATCACGGAATCACACAATGGTTGAGGTTGGAAGGGACCTCTAGAGATCATCTAGTCCAATCCCTCTGCTCCAGCAGGGACACCCAGAACACGGGGCACAGGGCAGCATCCAAGCAGGTTTGGAAGACCTCCAGAGAAGGAGACTCCACAACCTCCCTGGGCAGCCTGTGCCAGGGCTCTGTCACCCTCACAGGAAGGAAGTTCTTCCTCACATGGAGATGGAACTGCCTGTGTTTCAACTTGTACCATTGCCCCTTGTCCTGTCRCTGGCCACCACTGAGAAGAGCTTGGCCCTTTCCTCTCTCCATTCTCCCCTCATGAACTTATACATGTTAATCAGATCTCCTCTCAGCCTTCTCCAGAGAAAACAGACCCAACTCACTCAGTCTCTTCTCATACGAGAGATGTTCCAGTCCCTTAATCATCTTTGTTGCCCTCCGCTGGACCCTCTCTAGAAGCTCCACATCCCTCTTGTCCTGAGGAGTCCAGAATGGTGACAGAGAAGTTGACCTGCAGCAGTAAGAGCAGATTGCACTGTTTCCTCTGATGGTGGCAGAAGAATAATATATTTCAAGAATGAGGGGATTATGGAAAGCTTTTAGGAACTTAATAGATTTCTGTTTTGATCTGCAGACTTTAACATGGTCTGAGCACAATTTATTTAAATTTTGAATCTTTTAAATATGGTGATGCTAGGTTTAGAAATTGAACAATCCAAATTCTCTTATCCTTCTTGCTCTCAGATGTCTCTTAGTATTTCAGAATGAAACGGTTTAGTGACTCTTTAGCTGAAAATTGAGGGTCACAACTACCTCGCTATCTGTCTCCCAGAATTTTGTTTAGTCTCAAGGGAGTCGTGAGATTTGAGGAAAGCTGAGGTTGGCCTTGGCGGAACAGGGGAAATGAATGACTCCTCCTTCATTCCTGCTTTGATACACAACATAGAACAGGCAAAGACTATCAGTTTCTCACAGTTACAATAGTGCAGTTAATGCTGGAGGCAGAATGAGAAGTATTGTGGAAAACTTTCTTCAGTATGCTCCACTGTGGGCTTTTTAATTGTAAAAATAAGTGCTTATATAAAAACTGGACTCCTTGTATTCATTTATCTTATTTTGACAGGTTTGTGTTGATGCAACTTGTTTTTTTTTAGATATTTCTGCAGTAGTGAGTCTTTCTGAACATCCTAAGAGTTCTCTATAGAAACACCTGATTGTGTATGTACAAACATGCCAATCGAGTAACCTAGACTAGAAGTTAGATTACCTTTAGTCTGGAAAGAAATTAGAGAGTTTAAGTTATTGTCTTTTTCTTTGAGCTCTCTACGGATTTCATCTTTTCTTGTGTTCATTCAACACATCAACCAACTTAGGTATTCTGTTTTTACTCATTCTTTCTTACTCTGTTTTCCCTTTCTCTTCACAGTCCCTGACATTCTGTTCTTAGCAGCACTATTTTGTTGAACTTATTATACCTTAAACTGTGGTGCTAACGCTATCTGGCTTTGTCTCATTTGCTTTTTTTTTAGCTGATAGTCACCTTTTGGCTTTTGAATATACTGACACCGTTTCACTCCTCAGATTTCCTTTTCTTTCATCTTGTCATTACTCTTCTCACTGGTCAGCTACCTCTTCTCTTTATTTCTTGCCCACATTACATGTAAATAAAGTAGTCCACATTCTCCATACTGCCTACACATCTCCATTTGTCTTCTGTATAGATAGTGGAATGTCTTTGTTACGGCTTCCTTTCTGCTTTTGTCTTTCCCACTCTCCACAGTTTTACTGATGGTTCTATTTTCTTCTCAGTTTTTTAATGCTATGCTATCTCATTGGCTTCTGGGCACATACCTTCCTTGCTGTTGTCCCACCCTCTGCATATATTTTAAACATCTTGCAGTCAAAATACCATTCATCATCTCTTACATAATCTTCTTTCATCTATTATCTCCATTTTCCTGCCCAGATCTGTGTTACCATTCATTTTTTTTTCCTTTACGGTGCTTTTTGCCAATAGCAGCTTTCCACAACATGGATACTGAGCTCCTTATTGAAAGTCAGTTCACCATAAAGATCTGTAAAGCCTTGTGACATTTGCCCACAGACTGTAAACCCTTCATGTGCTTTCATCTCTTGTACTCTGCATACAAATAATCCTTCGAGCTTAAATTCCACCTTCTCAAGCTGGAGTTTTATGCAGCTATTCAGTGCATATGAATCTCCGAAGGGCAGCAGAAAACTGACCTTAAAGTAATAATGTAGTCATTGAAAAGTCATTGGCCAGGGAAGCATAATGCTCAAATGACACCAAGTGGGCAGTGCTCTCATACCGTTGCTTTCACATAGATTTTCTTGCACCTGAATCTGCCCCCAACCCCTTTTTGCAGTCCTGATTTCTCCTAAGGTGGCTTCTGTCACATGGTTCAGACTCGGCAGCCTGCTCGCTCTTGTCGTGCCCTAGGCAATCAGTGGTAGTGAAAGAAGCCAGCGGTCAGGGAAAGGATCTTCAGTAAGTTTAGATGGCCACTTTGGCTTCCACTGGGTYGTCTTTGGTTTTGGATGCATTATTTTCTTAGATACGAGTTCAGAAGTATCAATGAAAATAATCCTTGTATAGTAATTCTTTTAAGAAAATTGCTAGTAAGTGTAGCAGTGGATTTATGGGGTAAAGGGGCGTGTTTGAGGCTTTTAGCTTTGACAGCTTCCCCTCTCTGCCACCCCTGCCAATATCCAATATGTGATAKCCAATGTGTCACTCATTTTACCAAAACAGTGCAATTATAATCTGCTGGAAGTTGTTGCTTTTTTTCCCATAAGGTTTATGTAAGGTTTATGTAAGGTTTATGTATTGCTTTTTTTCCATAAGGTTTAAGTAAGAATTTTAGCAGTGTGTGTATTTGTGTAGCACAAGAACAATATCCTGTAGTATCTGTGTTGCAACTGCTGAGAGTGAACCTGAAAAAGGAACAGACTTTCAAGAAGCCTCTCAGCCGTGCTGTTATCTTGACTTATATGGACATTTACTGCACACAATAACCTGTGTGAGGTGAGGGAGAGAATGACAGGCTGAAGAGAGATACCTGGTAATACAATAACCTGCAATAACCAACATATGATCTCATGTGTAACCTATTGGTCTGAAGAGGACAGTAGTGTTTTTTTATCGAATGCAGTGAGAGGGAGCTTGTGTGCATGTGTGTATGTGTTTTGTTGGTGTCTTTTTTTTTTTCATAAGAAGTATTTGGAGGCCTTAAAACTGAAACTAGAGGTAAGGTTTGTGGCCTTCCATGGCTTTGCCTCTTCGTTTCATAAAAGCTCTCTTGAGGAAGATTGCACAAGAACTCCAACCGGTGGCCTTACGGGAGTGAAACCACCTATTTAATGAAGTTGGACCCTGGTATGATAATGAGATTGCTTGTTTATAAGGGAGAGAGCATGTGTGTGTTTTGTGTATAAATGAGAAAAATACTCTGGGGTAAAAGAACTTTCAGATCTTACGTGTATCTGTTATGCAGATTTAAATTTGGACCAAACTTGGTCAGTATTTACACTTCAGACTTCTGGCATCGTAGTTATGCTGGTAGGTTTGAGATTTTGAGCCTTGGTTAACATATCTGAGCTGACAGAAACACTTTTGTTGACTGCACCAAGAGCAGTATTTCCACTGACTAAATTTGTGATTCTGGTGATAACTGATGTTTAGTGAAGAGGTTACAGCTACAGCTTTGCTCTTATAACTGCATCCAAACTAGGAATGCTTTGTCCAGGTAGTATATTAGTATGCTGTAGTGTTAACAGGTTTCTAGTTTAGATGTTATTGCAGAAACTAAACAACATTTAAACTGCAGGAGATGAACTGTTTTTGTAAATAAGGCAATTTGCTTACGAGCAAGGATGGTAACACCATCCTTGAGTGAATAGTTTTTAAGTCCTATGTAATGTCTCATTTTAATAACAATTTCAGGTTAAAATATGCATGTTCCACTACGTTACAGTGTTGACTGAAATACTGGGTTTTCATTACAGGTTTTGCACCCTGCTGTAGAGTCTCTAGACCTTCGGGAATGCGATATCTCAGATAATGCACTGTTACAGCTTTATAACTGCAAGCAGTTGAAAGAAATCAATTTAAATTCTCGCAAAGAGAACAGATTGGGGATCACTTCAGAAGGTAGGTTGTCTATGCACAGATAACCAAGRTCTTGTTCCTGTTTCATTTTTCTTCTAAGACTGGAATGAATTGCAAAAATATATAGGGTAAATATTGTATAAAAATCCCCAGTGCCACACTGATATACTGCTGAAGTGACTTTAATTAGTCGACTATAAGTGCAGAGCACTGATTATCTTTCAAAGAAAGAGAGCTATCAGGTTACTCCCTTGTTAAGTTTCTGGTAAAACTGGTACATATGATGATATATTTACTTGATCTTCTTAATTATGTCTTGCTCAAAATTGGCTCCAGGCCTTTCCAGGACCACTGGGGCTAAAGTTTCTGGCTTGTGGTTTCCTAGATCACATTTTTTTCCCCTCAGTCATTTAAACATATTTATTATGCTGCAAGCATCCCTGGCTTGAAAGATTTCCTGGCTTTAGGATTTGCAATTTCTGGTGCTACTCAGACTCTATTCTAAAGCTGTATCAAGAACTTTGGCTTAAGTGCATAAACCTTCCTGAGTTTTATTTACCATTTAAGTTTTGTCATGTCTTTTCATTCCATTTATTCCTTCACCCCGTTATCTCATCCACATTGAAAACTGAGGCAAAATATTTACTTTAGTCTTCATATATAGCTTATTTTAGATCTGCCTTGGTCTAGTGTCTTTTTCATTTTTTTAAYCATTGCTTAGCGATGTACTTTTTTTAGTTATGTATTTAGTGAGGTTTTTTTTTTTTCTAATTGGTTTCTGGAAATTTTCTTTTATTCCTTGTCGTTGCGGTCCATCTTGGCGAAACAGACGCATCCAATGTGAATGCTGCTGGGGTGGAAGCTTTATTATAATCATCGCTCGTATATATATATTTTCTAGAATGCCCAGTCATTCTCAAAATGGGGCATAAACATATTTGCGGTTTTAACTCTACTGATAACAAGCATTCTACTGACAACAAGCATCCTGGATGAGCGTTTGTCCATAGGCTGCTCTGCCAAATACATTTCTAGGCAGTACGCCTGATTCCGGTTTCCTCCTCCTCTTTTCCTCCTTCATGAGGCTCTCCAACTGGTATCTTTCCAGGTGCTGGCTTCTTCTCGCTGGGTCATCCCAAGTTCAGCTACTCAGGCTAAACTAGGCCTTACTTWTGTCAAGCTACCTTTCTCTAAAAGCCTTGTTTTACCACAGTTCCTAATACTTTTTTTGTTCCTAAGACATGGATTGCAATGGCCTTCCTTCCATGCCTTCCTCTGTCCGCTGATTTCTAACATGGTTCATAAGYAGCCAGCTAAGCCTAGAACTTTTTGTGTAATTTTTTTCCTCTATTTGGATACAAATATCTGATCACTTTGCAAGTAAAAATGGAAAGTCTGGTTCTTTATGGGCAGATTTCTAGTTGACCCAACTTCTCTAAAGAATCTGTGTAACAAAACCTTTATTTTTCATTTAAACTGAATTCATTCTTAATCATTTATCTTAATTGCGTGTCCACACACAAAACAGGAAGAAGAAAGGAAAGCAGCTTAAATTGATGCTGCTTCTTACTAACTCAATAACAGTTTCTTTGGAGATGGGAAGAGAGAAGCTGTAGGCTACCACATCTAGGAACATCAACTGGTTAGGAATTACTAGGCAACACTTTCTACGTAGATTGCTTGTGAGTCACTTGCTCTCCTGTAATGCAGCATCTTACAGCACTTAACTGCTCCATTTAAATTAACTTGCCAGTACTGTCTTTTCTGTCATTCTTCATTCTTTCTAATGTGGTTCTGACCCGAGTAAATATTCTTTGCAGTTCTTGCACAGAAACATATTGTACCGTATTCAGCTCTATATTTCTTCTTTTCCTGAAAGGGATGTAATATTCTGTGCTGTTGGAATTGTCAAGTTTTTATAATCCTTACRGTAAATTTCTTTTCACAGCTTCAGTCTGTAGTTTGTTCTTTCATTTTACTGGCTGCTTCCTGATGAGTCTGTGCAAATATTTCAGTTGTTACTCTCAGGGCTCTAAGGGCACCAGTTGACCTTAATGGTTCTACCAGCCTCAGCTGGGACCCACACCCCGCAGTTCCTGACCCTGGAGCTCTGATTGAGCCCAGGTCTGGGCTGTCATAGAGGTACCTGGTTCCTCTCCTACAGCTGAAATGTTTGGGGCTTTTGGCTTGACCCTGGAGCTCGCGTGTTGCCTTGCCTTGGTGATCACTGGGCCATAGCAGGGGCTCCTTCTAGCACTCAGCTCTGGAGCTTGCCCAGCGCCGTGGTTTGTCCCAGGAAGGATTTTATAGTTTCATTCATCTCAACTTCATCAGCAGATTTCTCCCTTAGACTTGTCTTCTACCTCACATCCGTGTTTTAGGTATCTGCCTCATTATACACTGTGTGCCTCTCTATATTTCTGTATTATCAGTCTGCTTTATTGACCACCTTCTGGGTACTTCTTGGCAGACTTTCCATGCACATGGACCTACTAGAGTGTGGCAGTGTGAGTCTTCCTGTTAAGTATCATGTCTCTCCCTTCCATTCTGCTTTCTAGCAAACTGTCTCAGRTACCCAATGTCTTCCCATCCTATTGTCCTCTTTCTCTTCTAGGGCTGCCCCTCCTGCCCTCATCCTCACTGTCCCAGGATACTGCTGTGTGTTCTGTTTCCATAAGTGGCACAAGCTCATGTTCCAGTGCTGACTGATACTCCCTCACTTGATTTCTCATCCACTAGCTAGCTAATCCTCCCCTGACCTGCTGATCATACGCTGCCATGAATCATGTTGGACCTATTGCCTACACAATCTTATTGACCAGATGCCTAGAATCCTTCAGTTGTGTGAAGGAACATCCTTCCTGGAGGGATCCGCCAGATCTTGGAGACTGCGGTGCAGCAGCAGGACATCTCAAGCCATTGGCTGCTTCTTTCACGTGCTCTCTAGGTGATACTTCATAGACATTTCCCGAGGTGACCCTCCCACTAAGGAGGGGAATGCAGTACTCCAATACCTTCATCACCTCTGGCATTCTTCAGCAGTGCCCATTTCCAGGGCTCCATCTCTGGCTGGTATTGTGATTTTCTCACTCCGGAATTGAACGAAATAACCCATAAAAAGTTTCCCTCTTACTAAATCCCCCCCGGCCTAGCACAAAATGAAAATCRAGTGGTCGCGGGATGCAGCGCGGCGGGTGACACGCCGCAGGCGGCTTCCTCCCGCGGCGTGTTTCCTCGGCAGGTGTCACGGCGCTGGCCGTGTCGTGCCCGGCGCTGCGGGAAGCCTCCTTCAGACGGTGCCGCAACATCACGGACAGCGGCGTGCGCGCCCTGGCGCTCCACTGCCGCCACCTGCAGATCGTCAACCTGGGCAGCTGCTCGGGCATCACGGACGGCGCCCTGCAGGCGCTGGGCCAGCACTGCGAGTYCCTGCAGAGCGTGAGCTTCTCCTCTACGCAGGTGAGCCCGCCGCAACGCGCTCAGTAGTGTCTGTTAGCACGTGCATAAGAGAACTGAAGGAGGAGCTTTCCGGCTGTATTTCTCGACAAAGGATCTAGAACCACCGTTCATTTCCAGTTGCCTCCTCTCAGGGAAGAGATAAGCTCTGTTTTGCRTCTTGATATGAATAATTTGAGGTATTACAGTATTAATGAAACAAGTTCATCTTYGATCAATAGAGAGAGCAATCTAGCTGTTAATGGAAGTGAGTTTCTCTTTCAGTGTTTGATTTGGTTTTATTTTCTTCAAGTTGTAAAGCATGATGAAATATTTCATATAGAAAGCAGGTCTCTGGGACAAAGTCTTATGGTTAGGACAAACTGACCTAACTCAAAATAAAGGATGTCAAACGCTGTAAGTCCATAGAAGAGGTAAAGAGCAGATRCCTCTCTAGTGCTAGTTCCAGAGGGACTCTGCCTTCTGGATTTCCTGTCATAGTCATGTTATAGAGGCAACAGAAGAAGAGTGGCATTAAAAATGTTAGAAAGGGCACAGACTTTAACGCCGGCTGGTAGTTAATATGAATAAAGGGGGGATATTGTTTGTCAGAGCAATATTATAACAGACTTCATAACTGCACTAAGGTTGTGAAGTTGAGGAAGGCAATAGGCAGGTGTAGCATGCAGTTGCCTTGGGTGGTAGATTATTTCGTGTTGAATATGAGCCAAGCGCAGAGCATTCAAAACTGTCAGATGTCAAAAACATGTAACAGGTTCTGTATTTTAAACATTGCTATTCTCCTTTCAGCTCATCCAAAAGGAGATTGCAATGTAGTGACGATTGCAATATAGTAAAGATTGTAAAGACTGCGAATCTTKCCTACCTGTAGAGATTGCAAGGCCGAGGCGTGTGCTTGTGCTTGCGTGCATGGTGCATGTTCAAAATATCAAGAGGAACTTGCAAATCTATGTGAGAGAGTCAAGTAAATGAGGAAGTGAGAGAGAAATAAGCATGCACAGAGGGCACAGATCCCTAAGAAACAGATGTAAGCGAAACTAGAAAGGGGCCCAACACCGAAAGATGATGAAGGCAGTTTTAAAATAGGATCCTGTGGTGAATCCAGAGAGAGGAAATGCAGTTAAGCAGAAGGCATAAGGAATGCTGCCAGAGAAATGTAAAGGAGGGCAGGGGAAAGGAAAAGCAAAGATGGAAGTAAGAAACTGTTCTGTCTCCAAATCAAAAATAATTAATCTTTTTGCATTCTGAAGAACATGACTGAAATTATTAAAGATTAGAGTCAGCACTGACTAAATGTTTGTACTATGTTCTTTGTTTTAGTAATTTTAACAGACAAAAATTAGTCTTTATTTGATGGTAGAGTGTCTGTAAAAGATAATGCCCTATTCCAAGCTCAGCAATTGGATTGCAAAATAGTAAAGGTTGTGCTGGACTTTCAGGTGGACCTTAACATAAATGGTATTCCTCTAATACTGGACTTGTGTCCAAAGGAAATGTCCTACTTTACCATCTAGTACTGAAGGGCACAGAGATAGGCCTGTTTTTCCCACTTAGGCTGAAGCTGATTTTATTTGCTTAGGACCAACTTTTGCTAGTGGTGTTTATCTGAATCAGCGTGTTTTTTAAACCCAGTAGAGATAACTATCAGAATTACAAATTTTCTACTAATTCTATTTTATTTTTCTTTTAACCTGTGCCCACTTGCTCTAATTCTGCGTCCCCTGGCATCTCTTCCAGAGCAGCTAGGCTAAAATTCTAGAGCTATAGAAGACCGTAGCGCTTCCTAAGGCCTGCTGAAAGGTCTGAGAAGGGTCCGTGGGGACTCCCACATCTCTGCTGGCCTTCTTGGTGTGTGTGCAGCGCTTCCTCTTGGGAAGAGCAGAAATTTTGCTGCAGAAATAGCCCTTGCCCGGAGCATCCCCCTGCCGGGAATTAGCTACAGGGAGAGCACTCTTCAAACCTGCCAGGGAGGAGAGGTCTGCAGTTGTTGTAATAAACTAATGTTAACTTGGTCATATCTTGGATTCTTTATCCTATTTGCAAAATGGCAAATCTGTAAAAATTTACACTAGAAAAAATGGATCTTCTCTGCGGAGTTTTGCCATAGGGAAGGGTAGAAATCTGTGCTTTCTCTGTCTTGCCTCAGCTACAAGTGTCTGTTAGCTTTTCTCCAAAGTTACCTTCACTAACAACTTTATATATTCACTCGGGATTCTTTTTTGGAGACCAAGTTCCAATGCTGATTAATAAATAACAAACTCGATTTGTTTGACTAAGAGCTTCCTAGACATAACTTAAGTCTCCTAACAAGGTTGGGTTGTTTTTTCCTCCTTATCTCTGCAAAGGGTTYTCAGCAGCTTCCTCCTGTTGGGCCCAGAGGGAGGACAGCCTCTCAGCACACCTCGAGGACCAGGGCCAGGAATTTATCAGTGGGGCACCAACCTTATATAAACTATATCACTTACATACAGGTGTATTTTGGAAGGCTAGTGGGGAGAATGACCCTAGTGCTTTCAAAAAACAATGCAGCATTAACACATCCTCTGGCTAAAACATGTCCTGGGAAATCTCTGTCCCATTTCCTGTGTGCTTCTCTGGCAAAGCATATTATTTGTGTGTGTTAAAACCTACAGTTTCCCAAAGAATTAGATGAGAGTCATGATTTTTCTTCTGTTCTTCCCAGAACAGTTTACCAAAGTAGAGAAGCTTATTCTTCTCTCAGAACCATGGAAGGTAATATTATAATGAATACTAGTTCTTAATTTAAGACGTAGACTGGAAAAGCTTTTGCATAAGACAGCCTTATCTCTTCCTAAAAAAAGTTCCATTTTGTGRTCAGATCCTTCAGGCTAATTTTCTTTTACCCCTGCCTGCTGCATTTTCATTTGAGCCCAAATGTGCTCAGTCCTGTAGAGTTTCTGCCAGTTTAATTTTTGCTTCACACCCACCTCAGTTTCCCCAGGGTTTTACTTCTCTGGGGCCAGGCTTTGCGGTGTTGGTCTTTACCCAGAGGCAGATCTGGGTAAAAGCCAATTGTATGTGTGTAATGGGAATCTAAGACGGCAGAATTAGCTTTGGGGRGTGTGTGTGAGAGGGAGAGAAAACAATCAGGAGGTTTGTTTAAATAGAAATCAATAAAACCATGAATAGCCTGATGCTATGTACCCTGTATCAGTCTTGTTCTCTGTTTATACAAAAAGTTCACTTGTGTTCTGTATGATCGGTCTTTTAAAAGATGAATATAATAGCTAAGGCTTGTTCAGGTTTCCTCTAGGTTAACTTAGAGGACAGGCTGCACGTCTTTGCCTAAAGTGTTAAATCATCACAAGTTTCCTGAAGACGGCGTCGTGCTTGCTCACTGCTGATGGGGCTGATGCAATTGCTTGCTGCCCGGCAGAGGAGACATCTCCTTGCCTCCTCCTTTGGTCTGTGCTCTCCTCTCCTCCATCTGCTGTCTGGTCCTGCTTCTGCTGGACACTTTCTGGCAGCAAAGAAACCTCTCTCATCAACTCAACTTTAGATAATCAAGAAAAAAACCCTTTCTGTCAGAACTGAAGTCAGAAGCAGGTTGCATTTTATTGGAGAAAACGATGGAATAGAAAACAGATAACCACCTTCCTTGTATTGGTGGAGGCTTTGGTCCTGGGTCGCTTTAATGGGGCCCATTTCCCAGCTCTTTCCAGGAACCAGTCTGGGAAGGAAGCTTCTTAGTCATTAGAAACCGTACAGTGAGGTTAATACTCCTTGTATAAATAGGGGCTTAACATCTGGGCAGTTTTGAAATTCTGTGTTAGGGTTTCTGCAGTTCTGATTTCCTGTTTTACTCCCATAGTCAAGTCCACACAAGTAGTGACACCGTCTCCTGGAGGGAAAGGGAAGTCCTTTTCTCTCTCCTGTCTCTTACAGGCAATCATTGCTTTATGGCTGTCGGTAGCCACTGCAGTAAGCTTTTTAGAGCCTGTAAGGCTGCTTGTTTGGGGAAATTTTSTTTATAACTGGTTTGCTTCAAGGTGAGTTGAAGGCTCCATATGCAAGAATCACCTGATTCACTTCTTTTTTTTTCTGCCCAAGACACCAGCACAGCTCTGGAAGTCCTGAAAACAGAGGGAAAACTTGTCCAGGTAGAGCACAAGTAACGTAGGARTTAGCAATGCCTGTGTCCCCACGTTACAGTGCACCCACTGTGACACTGGACAGAACCAGTAGCTGCASGGCTGGAGCCACCCCCACAGAAAGCCTGGCTGGATCACACGGCAGCGAAATGCAGCAGGGATTAGCAGACCAGAAAAGCTCCCTTAGTTAATCCTGACAAGTTTTGCTAGGAAGAAACTAACATTAAATGTAGTCAGTGACTGCAGCGAGAGAATACATTATTATGAAAATCTTTCCTAAGTAGCCCTTTTCTAAACAAAAACAAACAAAAACCCCACCTTTAATACATGACATATATGTTTTTTTCTAGGTAACAGACGATGGCGTTATAGCACTAGTGAGTGGAACATGTTCCAAGAATTTAAAGGTAACTTATCTAGCCAAAGCAAAGAAATGCAAAAATCATATATTTTATTTTTARTTATTATTTCTAGGGAATGTTTTTTGTTGAGGTAAGCCTTTATATTTGTGTACAAGTCTGTCCAGAGTTTGGTCGTGAACTGAATTTCTTTGTATTTATCATAAATGCCATAAATATAACATCCTCCRTTTATCTAATAGGGTGATTTACATCTACTAGAGCTTGAGAGCTCCTCTTATCAGTTGTTTTATCTCTGTTTAGYTTCTGCTCAACTTCCATGAGGATCATTTAAAAAGTGAACAAGTGTACAGTCTGTGCAGATGAAGTTGTAGAAAAGCAGACTTTCTGTTCCCTTGCCATGCAATGTTAGAACGTTGAAATGTTGGCTTTGGGTTTAGAAGAACTGGTAGAAAATATCACATCGTGTCACACGTGACTTTTCTGTCTGCAAGACTGTGGTAATTATGGCCTGATGGCATTCCTAAACTTCAGGAAGCTTCAGGATGGAAGAGGGCAGTAAGTTGAATAGAGCATGGATGAACTAAAAACTATATGTACACCAGGTGCTCTACTCCTTGAGAATACAGTTCCTGTTTTCTGTGGCATCATTCTATAGGATTCTACATTTACTACAAAAGGTCCCTTTTGCTCATGTGCTTGGAGCTTCTACAAGATATTCCTTCCCAATTCTTATTCCTTTATTTGGCCACCTCAAAATACATTTTCACAGATCTCACATTCTGTTAACTTTGCCATTCTCTTGCTGCTTTTTTTTTGTATGTTACATATATTGATATAGGAACCAGTTTAGAATTAGAAAGTGCCCATTCAATGCATATGTGTGTGCATACATGTGTGCACATATATATATATATATGCACATATACATATGCACATGTATATTTATATATAAAAATCCTTTAAAGACTACAGATGCACACTGGCAGGGAGRAGAAAGATGGGTGTAGGTGTCTGATCCGAGTCTAATACTGTGTGATGCTGGAAACATTTTTTCCCTCCTTCCTACCCGTAAATGAGAGACAATCCTTCCTTTTTTTCAGTCTTTTGCTTTTTCTTGCATTGAGACAACTGATAGAGGCAAGAAGTGTTGGATAGTGGTTTTTTTTTTTAATTTGGTTAAATGTTTGTCCTCTCAAATAACATGTGTCTGCACATAAATTCCTCTCTGAAAGCTGGAATTTTCTTCTGTGAACATTATATTGAAATAAACATGAGTTTCCTTCTGCAGACAAGAGTAGCCACTCTAGAAAATACATATGCATGTATGTCTTCAAGTCATTATCCATTTGGAGAAACATATCTGATCAGTAAAGATTATAGTATTAGAGTGTACCAATTTTAAAATCTTTAGACTTCAGTTGCAATCTGTCCTCTGGTTCCAGCAATTACTTAGGAGAACGTGTGACACAGGAGAAATGACAGGACTCAAACTGTGTAAAATATCTTTGAAGAGKTTTTTTTTCCACTTGGTTTGATGTTAGTTTCTAGCTTTTTGGTGCTTGTTTCTAGCTCAGGAAATTTATGTTTTTAGAGTTGATTCTTCATAAAGAAAGCTGTGTCAATTTTCCTGAGGGTATCCATACAGAAACACCTATGGGATCGGTGCCCAGAGGAACTGATCATAGTTTCTTTTGGGGGAAATCCCTGAAGAAAATAACAACAATTCTTGGGCAGAGGAGGTGGTATCTCTAGACTGTGCCCGCTCTCACAGGCCTTTGTTTTTACTGGTGTTTGTAACAGGAGATCCACATGGAACAGTGTGTGAACCTGACCGATGTCGCCGTGGAAGCAGTGCTCACGTGTTGTCCAGAGATCTACATTTTTCTGTTCCACGGATGCCCGTTGATAACAGGTGAGTCACARCACTTCTGACCTCATCTTCTTGCTCACTGAGAAAAAACAAGTGAAGTTTTGTAAATACTCCCATGCAAATAATGAATGATTCAATGATGTTATCATTATACGTAGGGATTTTTTCAAGGCAAGGTGAGAGATTCGCCTTGAAGCCTGACAACCTTCAAAGTGTTTTGTTTTGTTTTGTTTTCTCTCTCAAAATGTTAATGCGGACCAAAAATTGTTCAGGAGACCTCAAGGGGAGATGTAAGCCTGTTCATCACCTACTGTCTTCCAAAAATATGGAACACGTTCCATTCAAGAAACAGTCTAATAGTCTAGGATTAATCTGCCTGAAATAAACCAACTTAAGAGTTTATGATAGAGATCTAAAAACCATGAATGGTATGGGGGAAAGGAAACTTCGTGGTATTTCTTTCCATAAAAGAATGAGGAATATCAAGATTAGCAGGAACTGATTTTGAGAAAGGAAGAACTCTTCATGCAATAGGTGACAGACCTGTGCAGCTCATTGCTGGTGGTGGTGTCCATGCTAAAACTATACAGCAGCTCAAAGGCTGTGCCAGTATTTGGAAGAGAAATTCTGGTTTTCCCTTGGCCTTTTTCACAGGCTCCAATTCTCTGTCCCTGTGATCCTGGGGTCTGGAGAGGGACATGTGGGGAGAGGTAGTTTTGGGGGAGCCCCAGCCCCTCAGGCAGGAGAGCCGATCACAGGTGGATGGGGAAGGGAGCCGAGGTGGCTGCGGGTGCAGCGGCCCCGGGCCGCGCTCCAGGCTGCTCGCCTCGTGTTGCTGCCTGTTGCAGCGGCTGCCGTGCCCTCAGTGGGGCGGTGAGCGCTGCCCCACGGCCCAGCCCCTCGTGGGGCCTTGGCGCAGGGGTGGCCGCGGGCGCAGCGCCCCCGGGCCCCGCTCCGGGTCCCTCGCTGCTTGCCCGGCTCCCGCGTTCCGCCTGCCTGCCATGAGGCAGCTGCTGCGGGGCGGCTYGGCCCTCCCTGCCCTCCTTTCAGGCGCCTGCGCCGGCGCTGCGCTCTCCTTTGGCTCGCACCGTTTCTTGAGTCGAGGGTCACGCTGCCCCAGCTGGAATTACCTTTCCCTTCCTTTCCTCCCGCTTGCTTGGTGTTCCCAACGTTTACAGCTCATTCCYCAAGGTTTGCTGATAGGGCAGACGGTCCGTCCCTTCCTTGGTGTTCCTTGTTTGTAACAGATAGTTCCTGTTTCAAGGTCCCTTGTGGCGTTTTAATGGTCTGGTTTCCTCGTGCCTTCCTGGCACTTGGTTTCCAGAACTTCCAGGGTCTTGAGCCATCATGACCACAGAGCCTAAGCTCATGGGGGCTGCAGTCAGGTAGGCAAGGGGAGGCCTCCATGGAGATGGTCCTTCTTACTCTTTCCTTTCCTTCCTTGGGGAGAAGTTGGAGCTGGAGAGGCAGGGAGAGAGCATGAGCACAGGAGCTGCTCTGCGGGCAGGAAGCTGCCAGAGCCCTTCTGTCCCCACTGGCTCTTTCTGGAGGCAGGATATCCAGGAGGATGGACTCTGGTTGTTCTTACATACCRTATAAAAGTGGTGCTGTATTTGAAGGGATTTACAGCCTAGTGAACGTGTCCCACTGCTCCAAATGGTGCTTGTATTTYTATGTCACTAACGTAGTGTCGTTCCAGCATCGCTAGCAGAGGGTGACTGACTGCGGATCCCTGAGCACGTCGGCTTTCCCTGACTGCTCTGACTTTACCAGCTCTTTTATTCTCAGGTTTTCAGATCCGTGATACACTCTCTCATTTCACTTGTTTGGCAACTGGCTTTWTAGAGTTTGATAAATACAGTCATTATACAAAACTGGATTTTTGACTTTTGCATCCAAGTGAACTATAGGAAAGTCCAAGGAAATCAGAGGAGAAAAGAGGCTATCAGTGTTATATACGGGCATGCATGCTCAAGAGAACGGAATTACAACTGCTTGGGAAACCTTAACTTGGTCTTTTCTGAGCCTTATGTGATTAAAATGCTTTTATTTTTTGTTTTTAAAACATTAATGCAGTGGCCATGCATTTATTGAAACATTTTGAAAGATTTCAGCTATATGTCAAGTATGACCTTCTAATGGCAAGCTAAACTTTAAATRCAGATATAATTGAAATCTTTTGTGGTTGACTTAATTTCTGCATGCCACATATATATATATATATATGTATATATATATATGTGTATATATTCTGAGTCAGTAACAAGACGTTCCTTGTTTCCTCTGCAGATCGCTCCCGAGATATTCTAGAGCAGCTGCTCGTGTCAAACAAAATCAAGCAAGTGACCTGGACTGTTTACTGATCCCTTGTTATGTGCACACCTGAGCGTGAGGTTTACAGAGGAGAGCAGCGCTTCAGACCCCGGCCCCGCTGGACACGGGCCGCCCCGCTGGTGACTTCCCGTGGCCGATGGCTTCTCCCCTTGCTCCCACCAGCGGTCCCTGTGGCCACCCCAGTGAGTCAGGATTCACCAGTGTCCCTGCGCAGAGCCTTGTCCTGCCTTCCCTTGCTGCCCGCGTTGCAATAGGAACAAAGTTAAATTGTAATTACTAGTACTGTATCCCAGGGCCCGTGAGGCATTGGGCTAGGCTACTACTTAACGTCTTGCTCATAGCTACCTATACAATCCGATTTTAAGTAAATCCTGGTGAATTGATAATCTGAGAGGGTAGTCGCCATTAAAAATACCAAGCGCAGACGTAGTATTCGCAGTTATGTAGAAGTGGCCATAAAGTTAGGGCTTAAATCTGAAAAAAAAAAGCAGAGTGAGCAGACAAAATAAACAGAGGTGACATTACCCCCAGTGCAAGGTTATTTTAAGCAGTAACAAGTAGCTTCCTTTCACGGGGCACTTTGCTGGGCTTGGAGGAAAAACAATAGACATTTATTTATGGTGTTACTGATGCTGCACGTTTCTTTTTTTTTTAGTTATTATTTATCATCAGATACTTAACTGGATTTTTACAGTTCTAAAAGTATAGTCTGAACATAAAAACGTAACTACAATAATTTCAAGAATTTTTTATTTAAGGAACTTCAGAATAGTAGTGATGACCACTAACAGAATTCTGTCTGTTGGCAGATACTCATCTGCTTTGGCTTTTGCCTGCATTTCTGTGTGAAAATGCTCAACGGGAACAAAATGTAGCTCTCATAAGCACAGCTGAAACGGGACTAGAGGAGGGCTCTGAGCACCTGAACCTCAGCACACTAGAGCTCAGCAGGGTACAGTACTGAGCTGTATGCAGTTCATGACATCCGCAGTAGCCTACAGAAATTGAAAATATACCTGGTTATGTCTTGTTCAGTTGCAGTCACATTTAAAAGCAATGTTCAGTTTTTGAAGTGTAGAGGAGTTCATGACACGCTGGAGCACGGGTTTCATCACAATTGTAAGTCATACTCGGTGGGTCTGTTGAAACAAGAAACACAGCGGGGGTTTGTATGATTTCTACATGAGGCTTAAAAACACTGGTCATTTGAGTGCTGCACAGGGCAGGAGGTGGCTCCCTGTTGATGCTCTGCACGTGGAACTAGCAGGACTAGGGAGGTCTCCCATGAACCTGGTGACGATGTGGAACATGCTGAGGTTAGGCCAGCGTTGGGAATGTGCTTACTTCTTAACCCAGCACTATCACACATCCCACTCAGGTGTCACAGAAATAAAATAGTCTTCTAGTCTATTTGAAGTTCACATCCAGCTGCATGGAAGATATTGTGTATATACATAAAGAATATATATGACTATATGTATGCTGCATCCAGTAATGCTAAAAGATAGTAAGTCTGACAACAATCCCTGTTGTTCTCTAGGTTTTATGAGTTAGGGAGGAACAAATTCTATTTTCTGTGAGTGCTGCGTGGCCATTTCCAAACTCAGCTGCYTGATTTCCTAGCTGCGGGCCCCTGCAGCGCTGTGGCTGGGCCTGAGAGGCCTCTGTTCCCAGGAAAGCTCCAGGAACACGGAGGCACCAGCGCCCACCCCTCCTGCAGGCAGAGGCTGGTGCCTTGGCTCTATTATTACACATAACAACTAGCACCTAAAAGCTCTAATTGCAGCAAATCGTTGGACCAGACAAAGGCTTAGGAACCTAAATGTTATTACTGGTTTTAGCCWTGCAGGTTGGAAACCTAGTTTTACTCTCTCTTCTTCCTCCCCCTTTTTTTTTGGGGGGGCGGGGGTATGCAGTCTAAATTTGCACTCTTTCCATATTGGTGCCTGTAGTGCAGTACTGACACGCTCAGTAGAAGTGTCTGACTTGTGGTGTATCTTCAGCTTGTCTTTAACAGCCTATACAACGTGGAGATGAGTGGTAAGGTTTGGAAGATCAGCATTTATCAGCATTTATCACTTCAAATCCTTCCTTTCCAGAGACTGAGTCTGCTCTCGCGTTAACTCCCCTGGATTTTGTTGTTGTTGGTTTTTGATTCGGGCTAAATTAGTTCTTTTCAACAGAAGTTTACAAGTTTTTTTGAAGTGGCAGAACATCATGTGTACCCTTTTCACCTTGTATTCTATATTGTACTTGTATATTGTTACCTTTGTAAATTGTTGGCYGAGAATATTCCTGCATTGTTCTGAAGATTAAATTTTGCCTGGCTCGTTTGGGTAGTTTTAAAAGCTCATTAAAAGTTCTTTCTGTGGCTACATACATGAACAGAAGTTCATAATCCTCCTGCCTCACAAATACCATGGTTTTTGGAGCGACTGTCACAACCTTTTCACACCTTTAAGCTTTTATATCCCCTGGTATGTGGATCCATGGGTGCAGCGTGCTTTATCATCCAGTTATTAGTTCTTAATTTCTGCTGCTTGTTCACTAATTTATTGCTCTGAAAACTGTGGTTTCTTTATTGAGTTGATGCATGCACAGACTCTTACCTGTGGAGGAAGGGGGTTTTTATACGCTGTAGATGATTCTTTCTTCAGAGTTGTAGGTTTGGACAATTCCGGAGATTGTTGTTCAGTAAGTCTTTGGGAGAAGAGAGAAAATAATGTTTCTAGTTTTTCTCTCATTCCCTGTTCAGAAGCATCATGGAAAGAAAGCTCTCTTCATCCTGCCCCAGCTCCCCAGGGTGACAGGCTGCCATTTTTTCCCTGCAAAGTTAGGGAGTGTAGATCATTGAATGTCATCTAGAAAGGCTAACGTCACCCCCCAGCTGCTACTCCTTAGCTACTCCAGTGGTTACTTTGGCCACACTCAAGAAGCATGGTTTTGAATGAGGCATCATCCTAAATGATCACTCTGGGGCTTAAAGGAAGAACAGACTTTTATTTTAGAGAAGGAGGAGACCCAGATTAGCTACATTCAGAAGAAAGAGCCAGGTAAAGAAAAAGCAAGGCACTCAGAGTGAGTATAACACGAGCTAATTATCCAGCAAAGAGAGTTTCAGGAAGGACAGCACTATTTTCTCTGTAAATGAGCTGCAGAAGCCTGGGGAGGGAGGGCAGGGTTCCCCCCYCCATCCTCCTCTGTCCTCAGTGCTCTTGTCCGAGATGTTTCCCGGTACCCTCCAGGAGTGACASGGACACAGGGACACACAGCAGAGGTGGCAGCCATGCAAACTCCCGGGCACCCTCTCTTTCCATCGGCACCGCTGCGCGCAGCCGCTCAAGTCGAGCTCGTCCGAGTTCCGGCTCAAATGCAGCCCAAGCCTGAGCCTACAAAGCTGACATGGGCACAGGGTGCAGCTGTGCATCAACAGTGCCATGCATATGTCTCATGGCTTACTTCAACCACTTACCAAAAAAATAGAAAGCCACCAATGGAGACCAWATTAATTACAAAGCGGCTTTAGGAGCTTTCTAAGCTACACGAAGGCTGGTAACTCCAGACGATGCTTGATGTTAGTCCATTGTTTTCCTGTCTAGCAGCTTCAGGAAGGGAATATTCTACAACTTTGTGCAAGTGCCTGTGAATTCTGTGTCTTAAAAACTCGTGCCTGCCCGGGTCACCAATGAGCACTTGGGTTGGCCGTGTCCTCATGCATTTTCTCAGCCACTGATGAAGACCGTCAGCCAGTTGCTCATCGTAAAACATATCCCCGAGAACAATGAGGTCCCAGTCGCCCACCTCCGAATTGATCATGTTCCGAATGGTGATGGGAAAGGGATTCAGATGGTTCAGTTCACAGTTCAAGATCATGGCCATTCCTGCAACTGAAGAAAATTAAATGAAGGTGAAGTTCGAGGGTTCTGCCTTTAAGACTCATTAACAAATTTCAAATATTCTGACACAACTTTCACTTTAATCTCTTATTTTTGTTTATCCTATCTAGCAGCTTTCACAGCCTTCATTGTGCATTAAAGTCTAGCATAAAATGGTGGAATTTTATCCTCATCRCACCACTGCATGGAGAAGAGCGATCCCATACAGGAAACCAGGGCCACTCCTGCATCAAAACAGAATATCCAACTGCCTTATCTGTGGATTCATTTCCTCCCTAATCAATGAGTAATTAAATTAGAAATATCCTGAATGCAGAAATCATTTAAGGGAAATCAAATCTTTTAAAACAATAACAATATGGACCTGCAGCTCCTATGCTATGCTCAGGTCCTAGAGAAAAAAAAAACAGTTTTTCCACTTGCTCTTGGAGCTCTCTTTCAAAGCAGCYGTGATGACATGTAGGAAACATTTGATGGGTCCTCTGCTGTTTGTTTACTCTAAAGAGTTGCTCACAGGGAGATCCGCTCTGTGTCAGGAGCCTAGTACAGCCCAGCTTCTAGTACTGGCAACATCCATTAATACTGTTATCATTCTAAATTAGCATATCTGGAAATCAATTTTCTCCCAAATAGGTCAAAGAAAACTTAGTGCTAAATGTGCTTTAAAGATATATACMTTTGCAGAGATATWTRTATTAAAAAAAAAGGAAGTTCTTACTAGGGTCGATGTCGTTAGCCAGGACTTGGGATGCCCCACTCATCACCGCAGCTATTGCTGTTGCTCCACATCCACTTCCAAGATCCAAAACTGATTTCCCATTRACAATCCAGGGATTATCTAAAATATACCTGAATTCAAAAGGAAAACTGTTAAAGCTATAAGCATATTTATGCAGATGTCTCAGCTTTGTCCTGCACTGCGTGAGCAGTCACATCACACATGTAATAAACCACGATGCTCTAGCAGATACTGCAATTCCATACATGCTGCTGCTGTAGAGCTCCTTGCTCGCCTCTGCTCGGATAAAACTCCCTTCCTCTTCCTCCCCACAAAAAAAAAAAAAAAAAAAAAAAACACTATCAAATCCAAATCCAAATCCAATACACGAGCTGCAACTAAGGTGCTTGGTGTCAAAAACAGGAAATGGGAAACTGTTGATAAAGACCTGTAGGAATCTCAAGACTCAGAAACACAAAGATGATTTTGCAGTGAATATTCCATGCTCAAATGACAAGGTGTCCCCATGCCCTACAGTACTGCTTATACAATTGCCYAAAGATGATTTTTTTCCTTTCTTTTCCTGAGTCATGCACTTACAGATGTAAATACTCCTGGTCTGCTTAATGTTGTTCCTGAAGAGTGACAAGAAAATGAGACTATAGCAATGCTGAGGGGAAAGAGTATCTTGATCTACTCACTGGTACCTGCCACGAGCAATCAGCAAAGCGCCTGGAAACACACAGGCAGAACTGACACAAGGCAAGTGGTTATTATTACACACTATGGGTCATATTGCCAACCTGGCATGTTCAGAACTTGACCAAAAGCCTAGAAATTCATTTCTTGTAAAGGTGCAAAGCCTTAAGTGACATAAATTCAACTGTTAAACTAGAAACACGAAAAGATTCTACATTTGTGTCATCTTCCAGCGTGGAAGATGAYGACTACCTGTCAGCACTGCTGGTAATTCAACTTTCACAGATGTTGTAACGTACAGAACTGTAACAGAAACACCAAGATTGGTGTAAACGGCAAATGAATGTGCGGGACCAGGCACAGAAGCACAAGGAGGATGGGCAGAAGCAGGCCTAGAAGGTGCCTCCCGTGGGTTTTGGTCCTTTGAGGACAACCCACAGCTGGCAAACACGATGGAAGGCARGGATGGCACCTCCATGGAAAGCACCCTGCTTGCTCTCCCCAAGGAAAGGGGCTGTGCTGGCCTCTGCAATGGTGTTCCTGCAGGAATGCACCGAGAGCATGATCCAGCCCAACAGCGTGGAGTGCTCTGCTTCCAGCTGAGTGCTTCCCAAGACACCTCCAATGATTATGGCAACCTAAACCAGCAGGAACCTACTGTCTACCTGCCATGGACAGAGGGGGAAATGCTGATGTTGGACACTGGTGTCAGACATGCTGGTTAACAAGGTGTCTTTGGTTACCCTGTGAGGCATAGTCTGAAACAGTCGACTTTTCAAGCTGTGGAAATGCCACTTGGGAAAAATAAGCGTSGCTATTGAAGCCACATGTTTTCCTGCCCCTTTTATTAGCTTTTAAATTTATTTTTACTTTTCCAGGTTAGGCAAGTAATTGCTGACATTTCCATCTCATCAAAACAAGTGCATAAATGGTAGTCAATTAGCATTGCTWCCCAAATACCTGGGAACATGAATCATAGGATAATAAAACGTATAGATTACCTTAATTTAATTATGTGATGTTTAAGAGTACTTTAATTCATCTAAATGGCAGGCTAATCAACTCACAATTTGGAACTGTAAGACTCTTTCCTGCTCCTACATTCTTGCAGAGCAGCAGTTGAGATCTTCTCTTCGGCGTGGGGAAGGCTGACACTTTGTTCTGCTGTTCAGAATTTTCTGGAAGGAAATTTTTCTGCTGTTCAAAGTGAGAAGTCTGATTTTGCAAGGTAAGAGAATGCCACCTAGCTCCTGGAAAGCAGGAATATCCAACAAATCACAGAATCACAAAATCACAGAATGGTTGAGGTTGGAAGGAACCTCTAGGGATCATCTAATCCAACCCCCCCTGCTCCAGCAGGGACACCTAGAACACAGGGCGGCATCCAGGTGAGTTTTGAAGTCCTCCAGAGAAGGAGACTCCACAGCCTCCCTGGGCAGCCTGTGCCAGGGCTCTGTCACCCTCACAGTAAAGAAGTTCTCCCTCACATGGAGATGGAACTKCCTGTGTTTCAACATGTACCCATTACCCCTTGTCCTGTCACTGGCCATCACTGAGAAGAGCTCGGCCCCTTCCTCCCTACATTCCCCCTCCAATTTCAACACATTTTGAAAGCAARTGGCCAGAATGAACATGCAGGTTCTTATGTGACTAGCAAACGAGGAGGGTTCTCTACATATTCATTCACTCTTGGACTGTGAGCCCGGATTCAACGGGGCTGCTGAAATCCTAAGGAGGGCACCGATTGAGGCTAAGCAGCACTGCCAAGTGCATCAGCCTAAGCCTGCTTTCCTCAGCAGAGCCAGACCCACATCCGCGTGCCTATCTGCCTCCTATAAAACCAAACCCCTTCAGCTCTCTCCTAATGGAAACTTCTTTTGGGACTATGACTGATACAAGTAAAAAGCTTGCTTAGTTTTGATGGCAGCTGCACAGCTCTCCCACACGTTCCAATTCAGCCAGATTCAGTTGTCCACACAGGGCAAGCACTGAATTTCACTGCTAGCCAGCAGCGACTGCTGCTCTGCTGTGTAAGGGCTGGCACACTTGGCAGCAGGCGACCATATTTAGGAACTTCAGGGGTCTGTGTGCTGCATACCTGGACAGGGCTTGACCTCCCGGCCAGTAAATTGCCCAGAATGGGTCCCCATAAGGCCACGAGTCGAGTTTCTCCTGCCAGAATCTGCAGCGAGGGGTGAGCAGGCGCAGCTGTATCTCTGGCGTGAGGTTCCCGCTGCTGGTGACCTCCGTGTTCTCCTCCAGAAACGCTCTCATCTCGGGGGTCACCGACGTGCCAGCCTCCCCGTGGCAGCAGCGTTTCCAGCCCAGAGAGGGGCTTCCCTTCCCGCTCCTCCATGCTCTGGCAAAGGCCTTCTGCCTGCTCAGGAAGAGCAGCCGCTTCCAGCCATGGAAGGCCATGTCTTCAGCGAGGACGACTGCTCCAGAAAGCAGCCTGGAGCGCTGATGCAATCTGAAGCGGACAATAGTTGGAGGGAGAAGGCTGGAGACAAACTCACAGGATGGTGTTTTTCACAGCAATGGGTGAAAACTCCTGAAAGGAGAACAATGTTCCATAAGGAGCATATCAGGGACTTGGAGGCTTTGCACCGCCAGGACTTCAGGAAGGGGAGGTTGACATGAAAGGCCACTTCGCCCCTGCAGTACAGAGAGCCTCTTAACACATCCTGCGAGAAACAACCGCTTAGTGGGAGAGCTGACAGAGCTAACAACTCAAAGGCAGCCTTTTAACCTTTCCCTCCCTCCTCCTTGCGCATAGACACAGGACAGGCTGCTCCCACGTAGTGCTCTTCCCATCAAATCCTTAGCCTTTACAGGCAGGGCTCTGGTATTGCAGGGACTATGGGCATAACAAAGGGTGTCAGGAGGTTTTGGGGAGGGGAATTACAGGTTTCAGAGCAGTGATGAGTCTTTTACATTAAAGCATCTTTTTAGACAGAGATCAGCAAACAAAGGATTTCTTCAAATGAGTTTCCTTYCTCTTTCAAATTTGCCAGCTCCAACATGATCGAACCTGGTTTAAATCAGAATACTCTAATTTCTTGCACCTCAGTCTGTACTTCAAAGGATCTGATAGTCTTACAATACRATAGCTGCAGGCGGATGCTCTCCTGTAGAAGGAAGCAGATCTCCATTTACTGCTCCCTCTCAGTTTCTAATGCAACAGACAGTGAATTCATAACCAATAAGTCTTAAGAAGTTGAGACATGAAGACTGGATGAGTTCAGACTTAAAGGCCTTCTGAAGCCACCTAAGGCTGGTTTTAGAGTCATTAGAAGCGAAGAAAATGGAAAACTGATGTGCCAGAGTTCAGACTCCCTTAGGAAACAGAACAAGGGACAACCACCACACTGGGGTAAGAGAGGACTGAAGAAGAGCAAGTTTTACCACGATCTTCTCATCCACCATCTCCTGAGGCATCTGGATCTTTCCTACATTGAACTGGATGGCATCTTTACCAAGGGGTGGCCAGAAAACAGAAAAAAAAAAAAAACCCAACTTCCAGCATTCCTGCTCAGATTTCCATGATCCCTCCTTTCCTCTTTCACTGTCTTTCCTTTCTCCTCTTGCGCTCTAATTTCCTTCTGGGAACTTGGACTTGCTTCAGGGCACAGCTTCTGGGCCTTGCCCAGAGCTGATGCCTAGGGAAGCAAGTAAAATCCATGCTTTAAAATGGCTTAAGTTTATAGAGTTTATAAGTTAAAAAAATAAGATGAGAGGCAGAAGCTATTCTCTGTCTTTGCTGCTGTTTCCTCTGTTTTGCAGAGGATTCCAAGAAAAAGCTGRTTGAGGCATAAAGAAATCCCGGGCAGTTTCACAGTGCCAGAGTTGCCACCAGTTTGGCCATCTCAAGCAGCACAGACCATCCTGACAGAAACTAGACAGGATGCCGGCTAAAGCTATGAAAACAGAGCCTTCATTAGCAGGGTTAATTGATATAACGTGATTTCTTATTCTATTTTCTCTGTCTGCATCATTATTATGTGGTTTCATGGGCTTTTGCTTACTAGAAGGGCGAGCTGCAAGCCGAACTCACGGTGCTTTGCTGCTCGGGCTGCCGGTCTGGCTTTATAAACCGCTCTGCACTTCCACGCAGCTTGAGTGGAAGCTCTGTGTGTTTATTCAAAATACGTGACTGAAAATTTTGGGTTTTTCCCACCACATCTGGGGAGGCCATGCAGCAGGTAACAGCTGAACGCACTTAATGAACTTGAGCTCTTGCTGAAGGCAGAGCTAGGGAGGCACCATCTGCRGAAGGGGAAGGGGAATCCAAGGGCAAAAGCCCTGCCAGGTAACAGGGTATGCCAGGGCTTGGCGGGTGGTTTTTGGTTCAATTGCTTGTTTTCCCCCATGAACTGCTGCAAATGAGCAGGGCTCAAATTCTGGTAGCCTCTATTTTGTGTCGCAATAGCTTCAAATCAGCAAAACCCTGCGGGTTGCTTGATGAGCAGCCCGGCACGCCAGTGAAAACCTGCATTTTCTGCATTTTCATGGGGAATTTTGCGAGGAGCAGCGGGGCCCTCTCTCCATCTCCTGCCTCCGGAGGCTGCCGCGTGAGGGGAGAGCGGCGACCAGGCCGCGACACGCGCTGGGGGCTGCACCCTGCCGGAACCCCGCGGGAAAATACCCTTTTCCCTTCAGAAATGCCCAGGTTTCCCTCTCCAGGCTGGCGGCGGGAGCGGGGCCGACACCTACCTGCTGCCGAGGCCCGGGTGCGCGCGGGCCGGGCCGAGCTGGGCCGGGCCGGGCCGCCTCCTCCTCCTCCCCTTAAAGCGGCAGCCCTTCCCTCTCCCGCCGGTATCCCGAGCTTTCCTGCCGGGATTTGGGGAGAGAGGCAGCTTGTGGCAGCGCAGGCCGCAAACGCGCTTCTCTGCGGCCCCTTTGAGGCGGCCCTTAGGCCGGGCCTGAGGCGCGCGCTGAGTCCTAAAGGCTGTTTCCTAAAACCAGCCGCGGTGACCACCGAGCCCGAGCCTGGACCTGCCCGGATCGCCTGGGCTGCGAGGCCATCTAGTGATGGTCTCCGGCTTAGCGCGGCTAAAACGCGTTCCCAGCGCGGTTGCCGCCTGCGGAGCGGGATTCTTGGATTCTTCTTTGATTTGGCATTGGAACGAGTAACCACTCAAACCTTATTATTATTATTACTTATTTGAACCTCAGTGAAGTCACTACCACCTAACACAGACCAACACCACACTAGGGCGGTTAAGAAAAATTCCTCCTTGGCTCATTCCAGCCCCRGGACGGCTTCACTGAAAAAGGAGTGAAGTCCTTGCTTTCCAGCAACCTTGGTTGGAGCATTAGAAACACAGACTTGTTCTTTCTTACCTAAGTACAAATGGTTAATTAGTATTTTCCTACTATTTTATTCTCCTACCATAACGTTTGAAAGTTTTGATACCAATGATAACTGTCAACTCTCACACAAAATTTCAGGTAAATCACTTTGACTTTCCAGCTGTGCTTTGTGGTGATTATTTCAGGGAAGGTTTCAAAGCTCGTCCTCTGCRAGAAACATGTTTCTTTTGTCCAGGCTGTTGCTTTAACTTGTAACACCTTGAGAATCTCTGCTGATAATTTGCAGCCAGCTACACTCGAATTTGCTCTGAGGACAAGGAGGACTTTGATCGCAACGCTGCGTGGGCTTTGTCTTCCATGGAGGAGGGTTAAATCTTCAAAACGCAGCTGCAGAGCAACGYTTGGGTGTCCGAGGGAATTACTGGATTGCTGGCTGATGATCCAACTGTCCAGGTCTCCGGGGAAATCTCGTTTGASCTAATGAAGAAGAAAGAAATTGAACTGCACAGGGAAAGAAGAGTGGGGAAAAAAAAGAAAGAAAGMAAGCAAAGGAAGGGAGAGTGAGAAGCTACCTTTGCATTAATTACCCAGTGACTCATAATTCGTTGTCGACAAAGAGATTAAACATAGAGGAAGAAAGACCTGCAGTTCAACTGACAGGTGACAACCCCAGTTCATTCCTTCTCTTCTAGCTTGTGGAACTGGAGCTGCAGCCCCCTTCGCCGGATCTCTTCTTGCAAGGCCAACTGCCACTGCTTGTTGCATCAAAAGCACCTGAGCGGAAAGTCGCCCAAGGGAAGATGGATGGATCCGGAGTGGTGTTGATTGGTAAAACACATCCCAACAACTCAGCATTGACAGTCAGTGGTTTCGCACATCAGGATCAATTTGTGGTTAGCCAGAGGCTGCAGAAGCAAGACATTATCAAAATGTAACTGGCACATTAGCTGGTAGCAAAGGCAAAGCTGAACATGAGTGCTCTGGCCAGGTCAGAGGGAGACAATGCAATTATTTTGTTGGGCCTTCAGCTATAAAATCCACACCACACGTTTCAGAGTCACTGTACATTTTTTCCATCTCAGGAATAAATATCCCGACCAAACAAATCACACATTACMCATACCATGCCCTGAAATCATGAAGTGGGATTTGCATAGACTGTCCAGCAGCAAGGATGTCTAGGAGCAAGGATGAGCAGTAGGCAGCAGAGATGCTCCAGATCCCTCCAGAGCAGGGGACCTGAAAGGACCTGACCTTGACTCCCGTGTATCTCCTTACTTAATGGGACGTTTGGCCTCTCGCGAGGGTCGTGTGGCAGAGGCAGGGATGGAGATCTGAGCCCAACRCAAGGCTGGCAAGTGGTACTCGCTCACTGGAGGGGTCCTAGGGGCAACTTTTTGCCTGGGACTTGGTGCAACACAGTTCCTGTTTGTGCTGGTGTTTGCTCTCGCTTCTCCGGAGAGTTTCAGGATCCGTAGGAAACTTAGTTATGAGTCAGGGTCATGCTGCTCTTCGCTGGTTTGCACTAGTGTCCAGAGGATGTGGAAAACAAGTGATACAACTGCAAAGAGAATTGGAAATAATAGTTTCCTCGCAACTCATTCACATGATGAATAGCATGGAGTTTATTTTCAGCATAATCAAGCASAGAAGAGCTGCCATTTGTGCACAAGGAGGCCTAGGAAGGTCAAAGGATGTGGCTGAGGCCATGGCACGGGCACATCAGAGTGGGAGCTGCCTTGGTCCCAGCACAGCCCCGTATCTCAGCATCAACTGGGCAGCTGGCACACAGAGCCACGTGGATGTCCCCAGGTCCCAGTCCCCAGCGCTGCGAGGAACGAGCCCAGGTGTAAGAGACAACCAGCTTTGCTCCATGAGGGGTTGCCTCACATGTCTAGGTGTTTTTATCAGCTCGGGCACCAGGTTTCATGGAAGATTCATGGCTCTGCCTTGAGCTTGCTCTGCAGAGACCAGGGATAGGGGCCTCTGTGGGGAGCTTCATCCTCAGCCTGAGTAGACTGCCCAAAGATAACAGCGCAGACAGGCTGCGATTTTCCAGGCGGGACACTGACCATTCAGTGGGAAGGTACTGGAGCAGCCGAGCCCGGCTGTGCCCGTAGGGTGCCCGGGCCCAGGGGCACCGGTCCCAGAGTCACAGACTCGCTGAGGTGGGCTCGGGGCTCTGGCTGGGTCCTCAAGTGCAAGCAAACCACTTTGATCTCTATCCTTCTCTTAGGGCTGACCTAGAGCTAATTCCCAATATTCCCAAGCTAAAGGCAGTAGAGAAAACCTGCAATCTAGCTGTCATTGGTGGTAAGGATCGTGAGCAGCAAGTACTCAGGGCAATCTTTGGTTGATCTGGCGTGAAGAAGGAGCGGCAAAGAGATGTGGCTGAACAACAGGATGTAAATGTTAAGGCTGCTGCTTGGAAAAAAAAAATGTGCCTGTAATAGGCACTGAAATGAGGCCCTTTCACGCCTTGATTTGCAAGAACAGCTTTTAGATTAATAAATTAATATAATTGAAATGATCAGAGCATTTATTATATGTGTTTTATATATGTGTGTGTAAATATACACATACATACATGCACGCACACAAGTGAAGCAGCAGCCCTTGCTAAATGGTGGAAACAACGAATTGCGCATCTCATTCCGGGAAACACTTTTCGGCCGTCCTTGATCTCCTGTTGTCTATTGGCTGTGGATTTGAAGGATTGGGATGTCTGCAGCACGCCCCTGGGCTTTCCAGCGTGCTGGGATGCATTGTAATGCAGATGTGGGGTGCCTGGCACCGCTTACTGAGCAGCGCTTCAAAGGGAAGCCGGGAAATTTAAATCAGAGAGGTTGAAATCAGACTCTAATTACACCCGTGCAGGGGCCAAAGGCATTTTGAGAGGGAGCCCAGCATGCACGGAGACACGAGGGCGGCTTCGTGTTCCCACCGGCACCCGCAGCTGTGGGGCCAGACAGACTCCTTGGGAGAGGTTGTTTGGAGAGTCGTGTTTGGGGCTAGGTCTGAACGCAGGGCGCTTGCTGAGGTGCACGAGGCAGCTGCAGTCCCGCTCCCAAAGCTTGTGCTGTGCCAGCAAGCGGCCAAGGGCACAACG